CCATTACTAACTTGAGCGTTGGAATGCCTACCTAGGAAACAACTTTTAGAGTCTCTCATCCCTTTCTTAATTTCAGATCTTGATCTTGGTGCATGATTTCGTCATTCCACCTCGACTTCACCAGTTGACAGGACTATGAAATTGCAATCTTTATTCACAACACCTCATATTAGACAGCATTAGATAACACTCCACATTAGCCGTAGATGCTTAATGAGAGATTGAATGATTATAGACTCCATAAATTTATCAGTGGTTCCCAAGTTAATTTATGAGGTTTCTTTGACCAACCCAATGGTGTAGCCCAGTTTCCTGAGTATGGGAAAAGTAGTAAGTTATGGGCCATAATCCATTTTGTAGATCGTCTAGCTCCACACACAAAATATTGCCCTAATCTTTTCTCCCTTGTTGTGGATGTGTAAGAGTCTGGACTCCTCCCATGGTCGAAGAAGTGGCAGTGTTTTCAGTAACATGATACAAGACAAAAAGAGCATATAAAGAGAGAGACCATCAATTCACATGATGTTACTTGCTTTCATCAAGGAAGTATAGGGCCCATTTATCAACACCATACAAGAAGCGGTGGGCCCATCTATTGGATTTGCAGATTGAACGGATTGAGCATCTTGGGTCACATCCTCACATGGATGGCAGAATCTCCGGGATGTTATTAAAATAGTGCCATCTTTTGACCAAAATGTAATCCCCTGGTTGGTAAGGCCCACACTCAACACCCCCATCCACCCATAGACACACACGCACACACCAAAAAAAAACTCTTATTCTTGGTTTGTTCGCTTTCTAAGGTGGATCAAGATCTGTAAAGAATATCTATTCCTTGAAAAAAACTGATATTTTAAAGCCTTTTCAGACAGAGAATAATTTTTCCCTTTTTTTTGCTCCAGAATAGTTAAAATTTTCTGACAACAAAAGAAATTGCAATGAAGGTTCAAAATATCGATAGGCTGAGGCGTATTGATACTTAAATATACGTGGAAATACATTTTTTCTTTTCTTTTCTTTTTTTTTTTTTTTACTTTGGATTTTTGGGAGTTAAAGACAGATGTTTTTATTAAAAAAAAAGTGGGATCCTAAAAACACCTGCAACTAAATAATACGGTACATCTGATACGGGAGGGATGTTTCGTATTGAAATCTTAAATCTTGATTGCAATCTTTTCTCTAAAATTTGAACTCCGATCAAACCCAAAACTGAACCTCATTTGAACTCGGACCATACTTTGGCAGGCTCCCCAAGCTTTAATTCTTTGGATAATATCCGTTTCGGTCCGCTAATCTACAGAACAATCAGATTTTGGACCAGTCCAATATGATGTATAAAACTTTGGACCGTACAAACTGATTCAATTAGTTAAGGTTCGGGTGGGTTCAATCCAAACTCGCCATTGAAAACCCTATCCCAAACAATCAACTTGAATCCTCATTCTTCTTTGCAAATAGACCTGTTCACAGGCCGTCCAGGTTGGATTCGGGCTAAGTTTCGTCTCTTTAATTATTAATAGAAAATATCTAGATCATTCATCAAAAAAAAAAAAAAAAAGAAAAAGAAAATATCTAGGCCTGAACTGATATGTATTATATAATATTATCGGATCAAGTTTAAGCTCGACCCGGACTTATTTGAAAAAGCCTGATTCCCGCCCAAAAAAATAATTGGGCTGGTGCTTAAAACTCAAGCTTAAGCCCACGAATCTAAAATTTTACGCACTCAATATAAAATTGAATAGAACATGCCAAAATGGACCAACTAGTCAGACTAACCGGCTCATGAACAATTTTACTTGCAAACAAAGAATTCCCCTTCTTATACCTAAATTTGAGTTTCGTGAAGAAATAGGAAGAGCAGTGAAAAACAGAAGATCATGCGAAAGAAGCTAATGCAACAACAAGGATAAAAAGGGGGTCCAGTGATTAGGCGAGAGTGAGAGAGACCGAACGAGGTTGCTGTCTCTGGACTTAGTTGTAGAGCTTTACGAAGGAAAGAGACAGGGCGGACTAGATGTTTCTGTTTGGATTCTATGAAATCTCCTTCGTTTTTTTAGCCATGAAACTCTTGGCAAATAAATCATTCCAAGGTCAAATCCGTGAATGAAGTAAAAAGAAACGAATGATCCCATAAAAAAGAAGAGTTTTAAATATGAAAAGGACAGCTTGTAATCAAAGTTTCGGGAGCAACATCGAACAGCTGTTCTGCTCATGCTCCATGGACAAGCCTTGATCATTTGAGCTGCAGGAGAGATTAATGATTAATGGGGGCGAGAGGGCTCACCGGCTCACCCCATCATCTTCTACATCAAAAGTTAATGTGATCATTGTGTCCATATGATAACAAACCGAGCTAGGCTAGGCTTTGAACCGCTAATTAGCTGGCCCGGTCAAAGGTTAGAATGATTTCACCGGTCAGCTTGCACGGTTCAACGATCAATAGCGTCCAAAACCTGGCATTAATTATGTCAGGGCCCGTTTGGTTTGCGGGAATAAGGGTTTGGAATCGGAATCGGAATGACCTTGATTCTAATTGTTTGGTTTAGAATTGAAATTTTATTCTCATTTTGGGCGGAATGGCATTTCCTCATTTGAGGGAGCAGTCATTCTCTCCCTCTCCCTTCTGAATGAAATCTCATTTTAGTTGATTCCAATTATTATCTAAACCAAATTGTCTGGTTTAGATAAAAAGCAAATTATCCAAAGGAAATCTCATTTCAATTGATTCTAATTTTCATTTCAATTATTATCTCCCTCCCTCTCCCTTCTGAATGAAATCTCAGTCTGATTCTGACTGTGAACCGAATTGTCTGGTTGTCCGAATTTATCGAGACTTCCAGCAGTTTTTTCATGCATGTATTTATGAAACTGAAAGAATCCCCCCAAAAATACTATTTAGGGTCCATTTGCTTTATTATTAGAATCAAAATCAAAATTCAATGAAATCAAAATCAGCTGAAATAGATTCTCATTCCCAAAAAAGGGGGATGAAATGACCATTCTCTCAAATGGGAAAATGTCATTTCCATCAAAATTGAGAATGAGGGCTTAGTTTGGAAGGAATACAAATATAAATTTATAGAGTATAAAACCTTCCGTCTTATATTATTTTGTATGTATTTGCATTGTATACATATGTATTTATACTTTTTTTCAAACTGAGCTGAAATTTCAATTTCATCCGACCAAATAATTGGAATTGATTCCTATTCCGATGAACCAAACGAAGCTTACTCTTTTTTCCTTGCTAGGACGAGATTACTATTCACTGTTGCTTAAAATAAACACGCTCAAGTCTCAATTGGTTCAACTCTGAATTCTACCCAAAAAAATTATTATTATTATTATTTATTTTTCAAATTTGGATAAACTTCTATGGATACCCAGAGGAGAGCTAACAGTCAGAAATTCCATCTGAAAACTGAAAGAATTATCTTTTCTGCATGGAGAATGATCGTGTCAATTCCCAAATCCCAATTCGAGACGGGTCAAAAATGTTTGTTTGATTGAAACTACTTTTATAAACCCAGGAATCTTCAGCGTTGGATGGTGGTGGGAGGCCCAAAAAGGCTCATTTGCTCCTCTAGCCAGCCTCCTATTCAGGTGTGTTGCCACTTGCCAAAATCAACTCTTCTTTCGGCCCTTGATTTTTAACAATCAGGACCAAAGGTGGGGCTCAGAAGGAGAGAGTGAACACGTGGCAGAGTAGGGATTTCACACATTTTCCAAATCCATGTTATATGTTGTAATCTAGTTGGGACCTCAAGAGAATTCTAGGGGTGTGTTTGGATTTAAAAGAAAAAATAGGGAAGGAAAGAAGAAAGTAGAGAAAGGTAAAAAAAATCTTTACAAACCTTATATATATTTTTCTATCTTTTTCTTTCAAACCAAACATAGCCTAATTGTTCGTTTTGACAGCTTTTACTCAGAGGAAATTTAAGCTCCAAACTCTAAAGCATCTACTACATGCCCATAATAAATCTTTCTATTAAACAATTTATATAACAATATAACAAAAGGTTGGACTATGATACCGGAGACATTATATCCGGAAAACTTGTGACCAATCAATCGGTATTATAAACACGTTAATCAATTGGATGATATTTATCAAAATTTACATGTGGGCTTTGATTGATAAAAACGCTTGTAGTACAGTGTACTTTTAACATCGTATAAAAATTAAAATATTTATATTTGATCATTAAATATTTAGCACCCGTTTGGGAGGGTTGAAATATAGGAGCTCTTGCTTTTCCATGTAAGTATCATAATACGAACAACCTAAGGTTGTGTTTGGTATCATTGTAATTTCTATTTACAATGTTTTAGGTTAATTAATACAAATTTTACGAGAATATATTTTTTTATATGACAAAAAATTATCAATACAACATTTGGTATTATTGATGTTTCTTCAGTAGACATCAAATTGGATATTTCTATTATAATTGCTAGCATTCAATCCAATGGCTATTTTTTACAAGTGGAAGTGGCAATAATACCAAGCACAACCTTAAACCCCGTTTGATTCATGGATATAGGGGTCTGGAATCGGAATTGGAATGGGCTCTTATTGGGGCATAGGTGGGTACAGGGCTAATATAGACCGGAGGATTCAACCGTGGGCCAACCCAAAGGGTCATTACTCACTACATAATAGATGGTCTGGACCTACAAGACATGGATCCTCCAAATTCCTTTTGTCATTGCTCTGATCAGTGGACCTACAAGACATGGATCTGGGCCATATAACTTACCATGTGGTACATGATCGGATCCAGACCCAACAAGATCTCTAGCCGGTGTGTGTACTAGGCCACTAGGTCCATGTAGGAATCTTTTAGAGCCCAACCAATGGATCGGGGCTTCGAAATCACGTGTTTGTTCCTTTCTTCTTAACGCCCGGTAAAATCTTCATAATGCAGTGACAAATAGGTCCATCTTGTGGTTAAGAAGGCCCAAACTATTAATGGGTCAAATTACAACCGAAGCCCAGATCTTCTACACAATGAACAAGATCCAGTCCAGTGCCATCGCCCTAATGTCAGTAGACTCGGTACTCAGTAGTGAAGTAGAGGTTTTACACTCTTGCTTCCAGTTTTTTAGTTCTGCAACCATGGCGGGAAGAGCAGGTACCTTCTCACTCTCAGGTTCCTTGGATTCTCAGATAGAAGGGTTGGACGGTGAAAGCTTGATCACCAGCTTGCAATCTCAGCTGAAATCTCTACAAGACAGAGTAAAGGTATGTGCTTTATTTTCCTTCTTGTTTTTATGCATCATGCTCGATTCGGGGCTCACTGAATGCTCTTAAGGTTCTCGGTTTAGCTCCCAGCCTCCCGCTACTTTTATATTTGATTTTTTTTTTCGAATACTTTTTAATCGTTTGTGTTTAATTTCTACTCATCTGTGCTGAAAACTCAGGAATTAGAGATAGAGAACGCAAGGCTATCATCTCAGATTTCAAATTGTCGTTGTTATAAGGTTCGTCAATTGAGTCGCAGCCCTCAAATGTTATAAGAACGAAGATATTGTGAATTAGGGATGTTTTAATCACAATAAAGGCATACTTATCAGAAGTTAATAGTGCTTTTACAATGCAGATCGAGGGCAACTCTGATTGTTCTGTTGTATCTAGAGGTAATTCAGTTGAGGAGAGTGCGAAATTACAAGCCGGAAGTGATGTAGAGGGACCGATTTCGATTCAAGGAGGTAGCAGTGATGAAAGAAGTGAGAATGCAGGACATATGGAAGCAACTAAATCCATTAATGGAACTAAGAAGAAGTCAAGAGAGAAGACTGAAGGTATGCAGCTATCTATGTTCAGAGATAGAAAAGTATAAAAAAAGAGGAACAGAATTAAAAGGTAGTATCGTTTCGTATAAATGGAACAGAGCACTGGATTCGATAAGTTTGTAGACGTTTGAGGATATTTTAGTACACCTTTTTATTTTTGCAATCATTATAGTATAATTTGAACTTTATGTCAATATATTGAGAACATAAGTTAATTTGAAGGGACCTTTTAAAGGAAAAAAGTAAATGGCCTTTATGTCTATATTTCTTTTAGAAGGTTTGTCATTTGTGTGACTACTGTTTTTCTTTCCATGTATTTCATGAATTTTTGAAGATTTTGCTGAAGGGTCTGACAAGCTTAAACTTGATTGGAGCAATTAAATAAAACTTGACATCGTTGAAAGTGTAATTCTTAGAGATTGGTTTTGTATTACAATCAACTTTTTTCTCTAGTTTGATAACTATCAAGTCATTGCAGAAAATAGAACAAGAGCGCTTCATGAAGGACTAGGCATGCTTAACCAAATTAATTTCTCCATTGACATTGAAGAGTGATTTTAAGAGTGTCTTAGTATAGTCATCCAATGCCTCAGAAAGACCATAGATGTTTGCCAGTATCATGAAATAAGATTTTTTTTGAACTAGGAATCATGTGGCTCATCCCAACTAGATTGACAATGGAGATGCTATAGTTATTTGGCAAAAGCAGGTGTATGGTACCAAAACTTGCACATTCAAAGCCTCTTTTTGTTTCTTATCCTTGTTATTTATTGAAGAGGGCACAAAGAAACAGAATAAAGAAGTGCAAGGTGAAGGAATACATAATCATTACCTTGGTGGTTCATGAGTTTTTGCGTTGCTTGTCAAAATGTGTGAGGGATTGGTAATGTAGAAGAACTCTTTCTAATTGGGTGGAGTGCTAAGCTTACTGAATTAACTTTATTTTATTTTATTTAAATCCCCTAATACAGTACTGGATAAAAGAAGTTTCTTTTGGTCAATGTGAAGCAAAAGAAGATGACTTTGTCTATAGAGTACTTAAGAACAATGATGTTTGGTTGCAAAAGCAGGGATAGCAATATCTCATTGAATCAGAAAATCCTTGTTATCAAGCATATAATATAAAAGAAAATTTCTAATGTCGAGGCTTGAATAATCTACCACCTTACACAACATTCTTATATTTTCTACTGTTCTCATTGAGGCTTGAGTAATCTACCAGCAAGATCCAAAGTTTGTTTGTTCAGTGGGGGAGATCTAAAGCCTTTTTACATGTCACATATTTAGCATCAGCTAAAGATGGTCATTCTGTGGATTGATTATATTAAAGTAAGATGTGGCTTATGTTTTAAATTTGATTGCTATTGTTTATCTCTTTCTTCCCTTAATGAGATTTTTGGCTTGCTGGATAAAGCTATAAGGAAATGATTAAAATTGATTTATATGTAAAGAAAAAGTTGTCAATCCAACATTAAAACTTACCTACTATTGTTTGCAGGTTGTAACATGAAGACTCTGCATCACTGTGCCAAGAGATATGTCGCTCTAAAAATCATGTATTTTGGGCAGAGGTATATTCTAGATGCATTAAAAATTTAAAACATGGTTAATGAACCTGATATGTTCATGATTTATTTATACCTGTATCAGTGTCTGAATGGACTCAAATTTTTGGTTGGTAATGGACTGACATTTTTTTTCCATATAAATTCCAGAAGACTGAATTGTAAAGGCTAGTGACAGACTTGTATACTGACAAAATAGAAACCTGTTAATCTGGGAAAGTCCTGGATAACTGATAAATTAACATAGAGTTACTGGATTTTTTTCTTTGTGTCTTTGTGATGTTGGATCATGTGGAAGTAAAGAAACTGTACTTTTTTGTGAAGGAAGAGAGACCTTATTTGCATCTTTGGGAAAATGCATGTAGATTTTCTATGGATTGGGTTTTTTATTTTCAAAGAGATTTAACAGTTTTAACCAAAGGGACTTCATATTTAATTGGCCACTTGTTTTAGGTGGAGGCGTGATATAAAGGTCTTCTGATGGGCTGTGCATCCTTTCTTTTCATGCATCTTTTTACTTAAACATATTAATAAATCTTTTGCTTGCTTATCCAAAATAGGGAAATTTTTAAGATGGTTGAGTGGTAAGGCCTGGAAGGATGGAACTAGGAATGAAGAAAATCAACAAATTCACCAGTAAGAGATGCAATTAGTGCATGGTGATCACCTAACTTACACTGTTTTTGAATTTTCAATGTATTTATCAATGCATTTTGGTTTGCAAGTTGCGTGAAAGTGCTAAAATTAGTACTTGTTATGTAAAATATCTTATTCTTTTCTTTTTTGAGTATCTGAAATTTGTCATTTTATTTACTCCCTAGATATGGTTACCAGAAAACAGAGTTCAACACTGCGTCACTGCCAGCCCCACAAACTGACATCAGAATGCAGAGAGGTATTAGGCCTTTTCTAGACTACAGGGTTGACACCAACCCTTCACCAAAAGCTCCAGGTCTCCAACAAATCAGAATTTCTATATGGAACCACTAGAGAGTCATATAGGCTTAACAGCCATTCAACAATTCTTTGATTGACTTCCTGAATTGAAGAATCAATGCTTGCAAAGCAAGAAATGGGTGGGGTGGTAAATACCAAGTGAAAAAAAAAGCTAAAAAAACCCTAAAAAAAGAGGTTGCAGCCTTTTCTTAGCTGAGAACTAACTCAACTGCAAAACAAATCAGCTGAGCTTTGCTCTGATTAGCCATTGACTGAAGTTGTAGGTTGCTTTGTAGGGAGATGCATATGTCTTTAATTGCATAGAATATCACTTTGGTTCTGAAATGAGTTCTTAATCAGGTCATAATTGTTGTAGAGAAGTGCTCATTGCCTGTAAGGCTTACCAGATTTATTTTGAAGATTCTTTTCAGTATGCATATATTTCTGCTATTAAATATATACAAAGAGATGGTAAAGTCTTATAATTAAGTATGCTACGTTTACAGGTTTTATGGTTTTGCTTCAGAAGCACAAATGGATCCAACTGTTGAGGTGATCTGCTTCACACAATGCCAATCTGTTCATTCTGCACAATTAAGTGAATACCAACTTGTTGTAGTGTGATGCACAATAATACATCTTCTGTGTTTCACTACCTTTAGCCTATGCTCTGGAAATTCAATATCATAGCTTACATCAAAATACTCATCACATAACAAGCACATTTTTAATATATGGAAATGATTATTTCCATTTGATACATAAACCTTCCTGGCAAGAGCTGTGTTCTCCATACAACAGATAGATAGTGATGTGCTCCCCATCTCCATTGCACTCATTTCCTCCAGTTTGTATGAGGAAAAAATCAGTCATTTTGATGTAGTGGACTGGGAAATTTGACACCCTGTTGATTACTAATAACTTGCAAAAGCATGTCATAATTGAACAAAAGAAGCATGCATAGCGTAATTGGGAAACTCTTTTCCCCCTCTTCTTTACAGTTCATTCATAGTATTCTAATTAAGTTGCTAGTGACTATTCTATTGGAAAGCAGATTGTAGCCTTGTAAGAAGTCTGACACTTTGCTTTGGCTTCAGAAAAAGATTGACAGTTGGTGCATTCTATGTAAGAAAGTGGAGGAATCAGTAAATCACTTATTTTTCCATTGTAGTTTTGTGACTCAGATCTGGGACCATCTTGATTTATTTTGCATTCAAAATTCTTCTACTTGGAACATACAAGACATCATTGACATCATGATGGCATGGCGCAAATATCCCCATTAATGTCCGTGGGAAGACTAATGTTTGGAGCAGCACTTGGGAGGAAAAAATGCTAGAACATTTAAGAACAGAGGGAGACACTACTGAAGTTGATGCTATTAAAGTTATTCACTGGGTTCATTTATTGGAAAGCTCTCAAGGAGTTATAGTATATGCTATGCACAGAAGATGTACCAATGAGATCTACTCCCCACAGGCTTGAGATGAATCAGGTGTGGGTACCCCCCACTAGGAACACCATAAAGCTTAATTTTGATGGGTGCTTTTTGGAAAACCTCAGTCATCCAGGTTTTGGAGGTTTTTTCAATAATAGAGATGGAATTATCATAATGATCATTCTTTTGTAGTTGGACATGTATAGGTGCAGGGATTCAGCAAGAGCAAAGCTACTCTCCCTCTTACAGGGATGCATAGTTGTCAGTTTCTATGGGCTTCAAGAGGCTTATTGTTGAGAGGGAATCCTATACTATCATTTGTTGGATGAGGGAGAATTCTAGAGGAACTTGGAGGCCCAGTTATCAGACCAAGTTACAGACTGAGTCACTGAATACCCTCCTCCCCACATTTAAATGGGTCCAGAGATCTGTCAATTCAATAGTTTAATAGCCTAGCTAGGGGGGAATGGCCAGAAATGATAATATGGGGCTCCTAACATTCCAAGCTCATTATGTCCTTTGTACATGATGTATAATGGAGCTCCTTGTTAGGCTAGGGATGCTTTAAATACTTTTTGGTGCCCCAATGCTTGTAATCATTTCATATTGAAAAAAAAAAAGTTTTTTCATTACCAATATAAAAAAATGCTGCTTACTTTAAGCATTGAAATCGATCTTCCTTTAAAAAAAAATCTTCCTTTCTTCTATGCTCCTTATGGTGGATTCGAGCCGACCCAAATACTTGGCTATTCGAGCTTGGCTCATTGGAATTATGTTAGACTCGAGCTCGAGCTTGAGCTCGGCTCGGTTCAAAGCTCACAAATTCAAGCTCGACTGCAAGCCATGTTTTTTTCTAAAAAAATAAAATTATACATATAAAAATATATTTTTTATTTTACATACAAAAAATTAAGAATTATAAATATTATTTATTATTATACATATAAGGAATAAAAAATGTTTTTATTTTACATACAAAAAAATAAGAATTATAAAAATTCTTTACTATTATACATAAAAAATAAAAACATTATATATAAAATATTATTATATAATAAAAATTATTATTATATATATTTATATGTATATATATGTATGTATATAATAAAAAATTATTTATTATTATACTAGGCTCGATTAGGCTCGCGAGCCTCACGAGTTGAGCTTCCTATTAGACCTGTTCATGGGCCGGGCCAGGCCGGGCCGGGCTCGGGCCGGGTTTTGACTCTTTATTAACAGAAAAATGTTAGGCCCGAGCCCGAGCCCGGCCCGACCAACAGGCCTACAACTTGGGCCCGAGCCTGGCCTTGATAAAAAGCCCGAGCCCGAAGCTCGAAGCCCGACCTAATAAAAGAAATTCGAATTTTTCCCTATTCAAATGGACATTTTCTATTTTAATTTAGATGTTTGTTTCCCCAATGGGCCTACAAGTGAATCAACAACCTTCTCAAATCAAAAAATTTATTCAAATGGACATCACATAGGGTTTTTACTTAGGTTTAACTATAGGTCGGGCCGGGTTTACTTAGGTTTAACTATAGGTCGGGTCGGGCCGGGCTATTTTGGCAAAGCCCGAGCCTGGCTCGAATTTTATGCGAGCCGGGCTTTTTGGCCCGAGGTTAAGCCTGCGGGCCAAAAAGCTTGTTCAAGCCCGTCCGGGGGTCGGGCCGGGCCGGGCCGTCGGGCCACCCGGCCCATGAACAGGTCTACTTCCTATATATCAGGCTCAAGCTCAGCTCGAAGTTCGGTTTAAACCGAGCTTAGCTCGAATAGCTCTTGAGAAGCTCGGCTCGTGGCCACCCCTACTTCTAGATAATATCAAAAGGACCAAATGCAATGCTTTTTTTTAGTACTTTCCTGCCTGTGTTCACCTAACTTATATTTTTCTTTAATGAGTAATTGAAATTTGTTAGTTGATCAAACAATAGAAGAATGAATTACATACAAGATGCCAAGCATCCCAAATCCTATATGTTTTTGTGGCCATAGAGTTGGCTTATATTATTGGTTTTGCTTAGACAAACAAAGCAGTATGTAATCATGCAAACAACAGATCTTTTGTTATGATTTGGTTCAAAATATTTGTTTTTTATCATTGATAATCTTTTATTTTCATGCAGTCTGAAATTTTTAAGGCACTGAAGCAGACAAAGCTTTTAGTTGGTGACAAAGAGGACTTACAGTACTCAAGATGTGGTAGGACAGATAAGGGAGTCTCTTCTGTGGGGCAGGTAAGTCAATTACAATATGGCCTTTATTAATTGAATGTTATTTTTAACTGTTGCAGCAATTTTACTGCATGCATTCTTAAAAAAGAGATATCAACCATCTTTGTCTTCTTTTCTTTAAATCACTGATAGAAAAAGAGATATCTGATGCAGGTGATTTCTTTATTCTTACGATCAAATCTTAAGAATATTGGAATGCATGTGAATAATGAGGAAAATGCTCCAAGTGATATATGTGGTTTGTGATATTTGCCTTTTCATTATTTATCTACTAAATTTGGTCATGTTATTTTTTGTTTGGAGAAAACAGAATATATTATTCTACCTTATTGTTCATTTTTCCTGGAGCTTCTTGGCAAAAGTTGGGAAGAAAGGAACAATCCTTGTAATTGGGATACATGATCCAGTACTTTCTCATTAAGTTTGGTTTTATGGTATTTCATGCATCTGTTAATTCAATTTAGATTTGTTTGTTCTCTTTATCTGTTTCCTTCTCAGAAGAAGAAATCGATTACGTGAGGGTGCTAAATAGAGTCCTTCCTAAAGATATCCGAGTCATAGGCTGGTGTCCTGCTCCTACTGATTTTCATGCAAGGTTTGATCATATTTTTTAGTCTTATTATTATTATTGTAGTTTTTTTATAATGGTATTTTGCAAGTAAAAATATAAAGCTTGCATTTTTTTGGGTGGGTGGGGGTGATTTGACAAATAAATATTCTTTCCTAAAAGGGAAAAAGAATAATAGGCTTTGGAGGAAAGATTTCCATGCATATAGTTAACTTTTGCCTCAGCCAGTCGAACATAGAGTCCAAAACTAGTGTCTCCAAAATATCAAAAAAAGTGAAGAAAAGAAACAGGAAGTATACTACTTAACTTGTGATGGTATTTTATATTCTTCATTTCTTTCTGCTGGGACAACCAACTCAGGAGTTCCATAAATAGTGGTGGGTCCTGCATCACCCATTTTTTCCTTTGCAGTTCCAAATGCATCAATTAAGTGCCTGGTATCTGGTGATGTTCTGTCCTTGCTTGTTATCTCATCAACATATGGTAGATGATTTCCTAATTTGTAGTCCTACACCTTATCCTAGTTTGAGATTTCAAATTTCTCGAATTTTGCCATAGGGAACTAAAAGAACCAGACTATTTGGAAATATCATTACAGTCTCATTGTGATGTAATGAAAAATTGTAAACCATTATTTAGGGTGTTAAAGGATTCTTATTACCAAAACACTTAGTTCCATGTTTTACACTTAGCCATTTTGTGCTCTACATCCCCATATTGATGCAGGACCACGGTGCTAAAGTTCTTCTCATTTGAAAATATCAGCTTAAAGAACTAGATTATTTGCAAATACCATATTTTAGGATTTTCTTTATTTAGTTATGCTTCTATGCAAATAAAGGTTTTCCTAGTCCTACTTGTCATATTTCTTATATGTAAATGATTAGTTACAACTTACAAGTCCACATCTAATCAGAATTTATCTTACTCCACCTTTTCTTATTATACATTTTTATAAGGTTCTAGTGTTGATTGTAAATTAAGTGTTCATTCCTTATCGATAAAACATTCTATTCATATTTTTATGTGTTAATATTTTTGTTAGTACTTTTTATGTATTGTTATAACATATACTTTTATGTCTTATGAAACATTTTTTATGCCTTTTGGGATAGTTTTTCCTGTATTTCCTTCTTATCTGTAGGGTGGTGGTTTTTGGGGAATTTTATTTATGGCACCTTATGTTTTAAGTGTAAGATGCTTGGTGCTTGTTTTTGGATTTTTCTTTCTTGAGGTCCTTTCCCCCTTTTCTACTTTCTTTTCAATTCTTCTTTTTAATGTACTAGTAAGCATGCACGTGCTTTGCACGTGGTAATTCTAAATGATGATAATGATAGTAATAGTATAACCAAAATTTTCTATAAAATTTTATGTATTTTTTATTTGTCATTTTTATATTTTTGTTTTTTATTGCAAAATCCAAATCCGATTACATAAACACCTCATCCAAATATGTGATAATTGGATCAAGTTGTGAAGTTTCAAGTATCATTGACAAGCTTACTTGCTTGGCTAGACTCTTCTTTTTGTAGTGTTTTATCTTTTTGTTGTATCTTTTTCCTTCTATTCATTTATCAGAAAAATGTAAGATTTAAATAGAGAGAATTGAATGAGGTGAAAATTAGTAGTTTAATTTACATTTTGAACCTTACAATTAAATAGGGACTAAATTCAAAAATGAGTATTTTAGTCAAAAGGAAATTCCACAATCTTATTAATATTTTTTTAAATAGTGTAAATATAGAATTATAGATGTGTTCAATTTTTTTCTACAATATTTTGTATTTTTGTGTGTAAAAACAATTGTAATATATCACACTTTTTATTTAAGATGATAAATATATGATATTATACATGTGCCTGAAATGCTTTTTTTGCAAAATTTATGTATTTTTATATTTTATTAATTTTTATTATTTATTTATGACATTAAAGGTTAACACATTTAACCCAAAAGTTGAGCTATTTATTATTAATTTTTATATTTTATTTTTGGTAAGTTCTAAATTATGTATTTCATTTTCGTTACCAATAAAAACAATTCCTGTTTATTACACTTATTTTTTTTAATTTGATTAATAAAAATATCATAAATGTGTCTAATTTTTTTTGTATTTTTCTATATTTATTTCTATTTAAAAAATTTTATTACCTAACTATGACTTTGTAGGTTTACTAAATTTGATTCGGATGGTTAAATTGCTTAGCCACTACTTAGATAAAAAAATGGTTTTGTTTTTGAGTCAATTTTAAAATATAAGGGTTTATATTGTTAAAAATATTGACATAGATCTATTTAGTAGCATTTATTAGTGAAAAATATCTTAAAAATATAGGATTTAATAAGAGAAAATGGGATTTAATACCTTAAGTAAAAGACTTAATGAAAGGGGATTAAATGAGGTGAAAAGTAATAATTGGAGTTACATTGTCAACCCTTACAGTTAGAGATGGATTAAATACACAAATATAGGCATTTTAATAGCCATTAAAGTTGGCACTAAAGCTATAATAAAATGACTTTTATACCCTCTCAAACAAAGAAATAGAGGGTAATTTTAGTCCAAAAAAAGTTCTACAATACATTCACACTTTTATATATAGTATAGATTCTGTGTTATGAATCAAACCAAATAAAAAAAAAAAAAAAACGAACTATATAGCTTATGTTGTCTAGCATTGCAAATTGCAAAATAGAAGCCCTACCAAATATATGGCATACATGTAGATTCTGTGTTATGAATCAAACCAAATAAAATAAAAAAAAAGTGAACTATATAGCTTATGCTGTCTAGCATTGCAAATTGCAAAATAGAAGCCCTACCAAATATATGGCATACATGTATTTGGATGAGTGATGTAAGAAGTCCCATCTACAATATCCACACTTTATAATCTACCTTGCAAATACTGAGTTATAAATGGGTATTGTTAAGATTTTTAGTAGTTTTGTCCAGTATCTAGGAATGCTGTTTATGGTAATCTGAGTAGGAAGTAATGCTGGAGGTGTTTGTCAGATCAATTTTTGTCTACCTGAATGACCTTAAGAAGCCTGTACAGTCATGTAACTTAAGAATCAGATGATAATAAACCGCTTTCTTCTGAAGACTCATCACAAAAATGGAGATCATGAACCTTGGGCACTGGAAAGGAATGCTGAGTCTTGTTTCACTTAATAGATCTTTTGAGCTCTAACCGTCTTCTATTTTTGCTGAATGGTTGCTTGTCTGGCAATGAATTTGAGTTGCCTGACACTTTTTTGATCTTTTGAATGGTCTGACTTACAATTTTGGTGTCTTATTAACTGCAGATTCAGTTGTATAAGCAGGGAGTACAAGTATCATTTCTGGAGGGGGAATCTAGATTTATCAGTATGGAGATCTCTATATTATGCCTTGTAATCTTGTTAAGCCTATGTTTAGTGCTCCTCATTCATTGATAAATGATTCTTAATCATTTCTTCACACATCAACAGGCAATGGAGATGGCTGGTAAGAAATTTATAGGGGAACATGACTTCAGGAACTTTTGTAAGATGGATGCAGTGAATGTTCACAATTATAGACGTCGTGTCACATCATTTGATATTTCTACTTGCAATGAAAGGTTGAAATTTAATGAAGCAATAATCTTACCAATTTTTTGCATTTTATTTTTCCATTTGTACCAGAAGCCACCTGACTTCATGCTCTGGTAGTTTGTTACTGTCTATTATGTTTTTGCTTTGTTCTTGCAATTCTCTTGGATTTGTTAGATAACTTCATTACAGATTTGTTCAATCTTCTGAACTTCCATTGCAGTTTGCACTAAGAATTCTTCTGTCTTTTGAGCTCAACAGTCAACCATTTTTATGTTGTTGTTTTGTCCAAGAGATTATCTGTGTTCATTGCAGTGAGTACATAAAGGAGGAGCATTAGTGGATGCAAGGACAGATAAATCTGTCTAGGTCAAATATGAACTTTGACAATTTTATGATTTCCCTTTCAAACCTCAGCGGCATCCATAGGGTGAAAATAGTATTTGAAGTTTGGATGAAATTTTGATTGTATAAATCGTGATCACATCCAACTAAATCTGGTTATGTATATATTAGAACTGTGCAATTTATGGTATAAACTTCTTTTTTCTCTTTTAGGACATACTTATAAACTTCCACTGATTTATATGTTTGGAAAATATACTTTACCTTTTCTCAAGAAAAGAAAAGAAAAGAAAAGAAAAGAAAAAGGGTTTGGAAAATATATAACCAATGCTGTAGAGTGAAGTTGTATGTTTTGGATCATCCCAATGCTTTGTACAAAGTCTTTGGCCTCTCCAATTCTCATATTCAAGGATCTTTTGTGCCCACAGGCAGTCTTTGATATTTTTATTTTGATGACCAGGCTTTTATTGACTTTTTTTTTTTTTATTTTTCCATGGGACAACTACTTAAACAGCTCGTCTCTTCTTGAAATTGTTGCCAAGCAATCTGGAAAGTACATTTCCCCCTACCAGTTTTAATGGACCTAGGCACTAGGGGTGTCAATCGACCGGTTTTGGTTTGGATCCAGTCCAATCCAAACGTTATCAAATCGGATTTGGACGGTCCATTATAATTATTGGATTGGGCCAATCCAAAATAAATTGGTCTGTATTCTTATTGGTTTGAATTAGACCTAAACCAAATTTCCAATAATCCGATCATGAGGCCAAACCCTTGTCCAATTTGAAATCAATCAAAACTGAAAACAGCATAAAATCACTTTTATGAAAGTACTTGTACGAAAACATTTTTATAAAAGCACTTTTATAAAAGTAGTTTTATGAAAAGTATTTTTATGAATAAAATTACTTTTACGAAAGCATTTTTACAAAAAAGTACTTTTATGAAAGCACTTTTACAGAAGTAGTTTTATGAAAGAACTTTTACACAAGCACTTTTATGAAATCACTTTTACAAAAAACTTTTACGAAAGCACTTTTATAGAAGTACTTTTATAAAAGCACTTTTATGGAAGCACTTTTAGAAAATCACTTATGAAAACTTTTACGAAAGCACTTTTATAAAAACACTTCTACGAAAGTACTTTTACGAAAGTACTTTTATAAAAGTACTTTTACAAAAGCACTTCTACAAAAGTACTTTTACAAATGTCTATGGAAGTACTTTTTGAAAAGTGCTTTTACAAAAGTTCCGAAATACTTTCAATAAAGTGCTTTTGTAAAAGTATTTTTATGAAAATATTTTTATCAAAGTACTTTTACAAAAGTGCTTTTTCAATGCTATAAGTGCTTTTATATAATGGATTGGATTGGATTTGGACTGGATTGGGTTCAGTCCATTTATAAGTGGACTCACATTGAATTGGATTGGGTTGGACCAAATCCGTCCAATTGATACCTCTACTGGGAACCAATGAAACTGTCGATTAGATATCTAGAAGAGCAATACTCTTGTTGATTGATAAATTTAAAATAAGTCAAGCTATATGAAGAAGTGATATTCATCTTTGCAAAATGACTTGAAACTTATAAAAATAGATTTTAGTCTGGCACTTAACACTAATGGAATTTTTAATGTAAATTAACAAGAAGTGTTCAAAATTCTTATAAGAAATAGTAAGTAACCCACTCTGTTGATTTTATTTACAATATCCAATAAACAAATGTTCCAAGGAAAGCAATTCAAGGTGAATAAATACATTGTATTAGCCTAATGAAGAAGAAACTAATTGGTGATAAAGGACCGTAATAGAGTGGATACCTTCTTTAGAAGCTTCATGGAACATTATTTGTTAGTTTTTACAAAAATGGTTTTCTTAGAGAAGTGCCTTATTTGTTTCATCCAATTAGTTTTGTGTAGAGTCCATCATGTCTCAATAGTCATTGTACATGAGAGAGGTTATGTAAGCACTTAGTGAGTAGCATATGGAGAAGCTAAGATATGACAACATGTGTTAACATGCTCCCAAGAAAAACAAATTTTCTTTGTGGATTTCTAGATGAAAAATCGATCTGTGCACTAGCATGTGAAGCCTTTTCATCCAGATGTTGCTTGCTTGGGTGCACTACCAGGACAACAGAAATAAGAAAAGAAAAAGAAAAAAAACTCTCTGTTGGGGTAATAACAGAGGGGCAATCTGCTTGCATTGTATTAGATATTCTGTCTTTTGGTGAGTTGAATTCTTCCTAGTGTGCTCCTGATTATAATTCTTATCCCTCTTTATTCACAGCTCATTTCTATTCCTATTCTGCAATTAGTTGCATAAAGTGGTTTCTCAATCATGATCAATTGCCTTATCTGTTTCCATGAGGTTTTCCTTTTCCACTATTTCTTTAGGTAGATTAGTCTTTTTGGACTAAAAAAATCATGTTACTTTTGGTTGTCAAATTGGTCAAACCTGGGCTATTATCTGAATCAGCAACTTGAAGACACCTTATGCAAAGTTAAAGTTCACACTCTGACAGAAACATGGATAAGAAAGTTTCCCCTCACTTTCTCAAAAGAATGCTCACAACTTGCTTCTCAGATGTATGAGTTGATATATTATCATTTAAATGAAATATCTCTTTCATGTAATGTACAAGAAGAAATTTTTTGTTCTATCATATTTTCCTCTCAATAGATTAATTAATAGCTTGTCATGTTTGCAGATGAACATTGTGTTTTCTGCAGCTTCTCACACATGTGATATACTGATTAATATAATTAGGAGCTTTACAAATCCTAACATGGGTTAATTAGGATGTTGTACCATATCTGTATGCTATGCTGTCAAATGTGTTGTGGTTGCTTCGTTGAATATCGATTACATGAGCTTATTTCACATTAGAACTTTTCCATCATCTACTCTTTTTTATGTAACAGAAAAGAGATTTTTATTATTGTCTACTTGTTTCTTAACATTGGAAACATTTTCTACGTGTGCATCTTCTCTCTCTCTCTGTTTTTTCTTTTGACAGTGCAAAATGCCTTTATGTGGCATTGATGTTTCCCAATGTTATTTTTAGGTCTGAAAGTGATCAAATATGGGAAATAATAATCAAGGGTAGTGCTTTTCTATGGCACCAGGTCCGATGCATGGTTGCTGTGCTATTTATGGTTGGTCAAGGTCTTGAATCCCCAAATGTGCGTACCTGAGTTCCTTTTAAATGATTTCTTTGTCACTGAATTATCATTGTATGCCAGTTCCTAGAGTAAAGTGGAAATACTGGAACTGACATCATATAAAAAGAACATTTTAATTTGTGTTTTACAACCTTTGGGTATATTGTTGCTTCATCATCCATGCCTTATCCCAACTATATGGGGATATTGTTGCTTAATCAGGAAAATTTTGTTTTTGGGTGGGCAAGATGGAAATTAAGCCTGATGTAAACTTAACATGCAACCTTTTAAGGTGAAGTCATAAAATAAAAAACCATAAAGCTGATTTGTTTGTTAATCATATATATATATATATATATATATAGTATTTTGTCAACCGTAAATTACAATATCTAAGATACCATTAAGTTGACCATATGGGTAGCTAATAGTTGCCTAACAGTGATACCAGTACAGAGGCAATAAGATGCCATTCTCTGCTTTACAACTATTGTGTAATGCAAACCTTCAATCAACTTGATGCTATTCTCCAAATTTTCTGGTCATTCAGAAGAATACAAAAGAAGTTACGTCTGAGAGTTGATTTTTGTCCTAATAGGTTTTCAGATGGATGCCAAACCCTGTATGTCCCACATGAACCAACATGTTTTGATCAACCATTTTATGTGGTGAACTTGGTATTTACCTTAGTTTTTCTCAGTTTCTGTAATGAGTATGGAAATGCAGATGATTATATTATGCAGAGAGTTTGATTTCTGTCCTAGTAGGATTTCAGGTGGATTTTGGCTCCTGTGTCTATATGCCTTTTCCTTTGATCAACCATTCCTAAAATGGAATTTGGTACACTAAGTTTTCTCATTTTCAGATGACCCAAATGAAGCCTTCAAAGTTTTATATTCTATTTAGCTATACCAGACTACCAGTTTCTCCTTTTTGATCTATCAAAATCAGAAGTTCCTTGGTCAATAAGGTTGGAATCCATCAAATAGTTCCAGTAATCTCCAATGTACATGCAGTGGAGTTGGATCATGTTCAAAAGTTTAATGCATTTTAAGTAAGAATCAACATGGCAAAAAATGTGCCTTTTGAGTTTTGCTTTATTGTGAGAGTAGGATTTTTCTTAATCATGTAAAATTACGAACATATGAAGATCTGGAATTATCCATATGTTTTAAATTTTGTAAAGACATGAGATGTAAATATTGAGATTCTAGTATCAATATTGGAATGTCTTCTTGAGTATTGGAAATTCTATTTCCTGCTGGTTGTCCATAAATACAGTCATTGACATCACTTTGCTTAATGTTCTGTCCCGGGATATCCTATTCTGGAAGTCAACATCATTAAGTGATCATGGCTTCTTGACCTATGTAGTTCCGTTAGGTAATCAAAATTACATGGTCAATTGTTCTATCAATCGGTGGGTACAATATACTGCTTTCTTATTTCATTTATTTTGAAAATCTTTGGTGTTTTTGTTGGACTCATTATGTTAACTTTTGTATTTCTCTTTTGAGGGTAGTGGATTGTTTTCCTTCCCCTGGCTTCCTCAAAACTCCCTTACCAATAAGAAGCCTCTTGTTACTAATAAAAAAATAAGAATGTTTCTCATTCTAATAGTTTCTTTTCACATAGGTGATAGATATATTACTTGATACTACCATGACTCCCAGAAAACCTCAGTATGCCATGGCACCTGAGCTTCCGTTGGTTTTTCATTCATGTGAATTTGAAGGTCTCAACTTTATTTGTTCTCCAGGTACTTATTTCTATCCCTTTTCTGTCAATTTCTCTGATAGTTGAACGATTATGACTTCTCTTTCATTGTTTCTTACAGTAAGAAACCGAATTGAATTTAATAATCTCTTCAATGAGTTAAAATTGTAAGATAAACAGTAGGCACAAGCATGGAATATCTACAATTTCAAATGCAGCAATCCATTTTCTGGTGAGCTAAGGGAGTATTGTCTAATCAGTTGCCCCCTATAAAAAGGAAKACCCTTTCTGAACATTACTTCACCTTTAGATAAATCAACTATATCCATTGCTCATTTCCATTCCATCTTTAATTTGCATACCTGATGATCCAAAAAAGCCTTTCCAGCTATGAAGTGTTGGAGAATTGAAGATGGTTTATTTGGTAGGTGCTTGGCATCGATGCCATTGCTTCAGAGATGTTTTCTGAGGAAACGGTGCTGTATGCATGAGGGTCTGTTGCACTGTTTTCTCAGAAATGGCTCCTTTTTTTGTTTGGCATTGATGCTGCCACAATAGGCTGTTTTCTGGGAAAACAGCACTGGTTTTGTTTGGTACCAGTGCTGTATAACCTTTTTCAGCATTGGTCTACATTATCCAACGCCCAAGATGATGCCACATCATTGCACCGCTGGCAGCAATGGACTGTTTTCTGAGAAAACATTGAATTTGGCGTTTCTTCAGGCCACACTTCCCCGATTTCCAAGGCATGCTCTGGAGCAACATTTTTTTCTGGAAAAACGATGCCAAATAAGAGGCTGTTTTCTGAAGCACCACTCTTTCTGATGCGGCACCGGTGTGGCACCATTTTCAATGCCAAGCACCGCCTCGGTTTGTGTATGCTTGGCTTGGGGGTGGGTGGGCAGAATTGTTCTTATGGAGATGGGGAGGAGGGAGGATTTTATTGGATGTATGTGAAAGTTTTGTTTGTAGAGGAGGATTTTATTGGAAGTCTGTGTTTAACCCATTCTAGTAAGTAATTGTATAGCTGATTCCCATTTGCACTAGGGTAACTTGTATAGTAGTAAGAAAAAATAAAAAACTTGTATGGTAGTAAAAAAAGAAGAGGGTTTCTTTTGATTTCATTTGCACCATTTCCTGTATTTTGTTTCTCAATATGGAAACTATGATCTAACCACAGTTTCTAGGTTACAAATGTCATTTCACCATTTTAAGCTTTCATTTTCCAACCAAGGCATCAAATGCATACCCCTATAAATGGTCTAATGCTTAATGGTAATATGACAAAACTGATAAAAAAAATGGTAATATGACAAACTCCCCTGCTGCATTGGGTAGTGAAAACTCCAACTGCTGTCAACCACTTGTCTGAATTCTGCTACAATCATACAAAATCTGAGCCTGCTAAGCCATCAAATTTGGAGTAGTGTAGTTTTTGAGGCTTTGATTAAAGAGGAAGCTAACTTTTTCAGTCTTTGAACTTTTGTATTGACATTTTTGTCTTTGTAATTTATGAGGCTCCAGATACATTCTTATTGTCCCAATGATTATTGCTTATGTGTGACTAGTTATGATTAGATTTTCTTTTATGTGCAGATGCAATGAAAGCTTTGCGTGAGCATTTGAAGAATGAATACCAAACTTACAGGCTGAAAGCTGCCATCTTTCATGAGGCTCTTCTGATCTGTTTGTCTGCAACTAATGGTGTAAAAGCAATTATTCCTTTCACTTGTTGCATTACTTACTCTTCAGTTTTTGCTTAATATTCTTTGCTTGACATTTAAGGTTTTCCTTTTTGCAGTTTCAGATGGGAGTCCCTTGAATTATACCAAGAAAAAGAAGGCAGTCCATGTTCCTCTCACATCACGACCAACTGAGCGTGAGTTCCATTTTATTCATCTGTACAGTCAATGATTTCTCTAATTCATGATAGTTTTATCTATTTTGTCCTTAGCTAATTTGTGTTTGCTTGAAGTTGTGACCTTGTTCCTTTGTGTCACCATCTCTTGGATGGGTCATATAACTCATAGGGCCAAAATATAAAATCCTAGTGTTCTTAATTGTCCCGACAATAGTTAGAACTTGGACATTGATTGGATTTTATTCTTACCTGATTTCTGTTTGCTTGAAGTTGTCACCTTGATATACTGTGCTTCTTGTCTTTCAAAAAACATATGCCATAAACCAGATGAACCATACTAATTGCTACCTATTCATTGATGCAGATAGTTTCTTTGTGCCACCATCTCTTGGATGGGCCATAATGTCAAAATATACAATCCTAGTGTTCTTAATTGTCCTTACAAAGTTACAATAGTTAGAATTTGGACATTGATTGGAATTCAGTGCAAGTTCGTAGGGAGAAAAGCTATAAATTGAATATTGTCATCTTTTTTTTTGAAAACTCCCCATCCACAGTGGAGCCAATTAAGTGAATAGTGTAGATTGATGGGTTGGTACTTGGTAGGCCACTTGTGCAGTCTATGGTGCCAGTGTGTGTACTCCTTTTCCCCTACTTATATTATTTATGGTTTCTAAAGATTTTTATTTTGCCAATTGGAGCTCTGTCCTGGGTGTACTTATCCTTAAATTGGTTGCAGCATCATATGAGGAACGTCGTGCCAAATTGAAATTAAGGGAATAAACTTGAAGAGTTCGACTTATCATGACAAATAGCTAATATCCCAATGAGATTCAATTTTGTCTGTTCCCCAATTTCAGGGGTTCACTGGTCTATGCAACCTATTCTGTTTTTATTTTTATATATCATGTATGAATATGCCATTCTTTAATTTATGAAGAAAGAAAGATCACACTCTAAAGCAGCTTCCATTATTTTCTATTAATCAGCTGATTGATTCTAGAAGGAAAAAGGAAAAAGAAAAAAAATAACAGTTAGTTATTCTCAATACTCAGATTCTCTTTTCTCCCCACGGTATCAGTGGTCATGTTTTAATTTTCCATTCCTTTCTCTTGAACAGCATTCAATCTCTATAGCCTGCAAGTTTTCAACATGAAATGAAATAATTTCATCTATAAGTTTCCTTTACCTTTTAGAGCAGATCACCATCTAGAACGGATCCACTTCTGTATATTAAAACTTGAACTGAGGTCAGTTCAGTTTTCTTGATGAGCTCATTTAGCCTTCGAAACAACCTGAAATGAACCCATTTCATCTAACAGATGGCGCGAGTTAAAATGCTTTGTAAAACTAGGAACTACAATGAGATCATTCCATTTTGTGTCATCAATGCAGGCTATTTAGCCTGTTATTGAACCCATACAGGGTGTTCCAGATTTTAGTAACATCATTTGAATGATTAACATGGGGCTGCATTGCTTTTTGTAAATCGAACAGTCCCATCGTAGTGTTATCGCATGATTTTGATTATTAAAAACCTAAAGATACTTGAAGCGAAAGTTGTGAAAAATATAGATCTTAAAAAAGATCACAAGTGGTACCTAAAAAAAAAAAAACTTTAAAAAAATATCAAAATTTCAAGCTTTTCCAACCTATGGTGTGGTATATCATACCATGCATGCTTTTTTTTATTTTTTTAATTTTTATTACGGCCTGGGCCTCGTACCCATGCCAGAGTCATCTAAATCCTCTATCATTGCAGGTAAAAGGAATATCACTAATCAGTAGGCAGAAAGGAGCAAATAATCATCAGACGGACCTGATGAGAATATTACATGGTCATTAAATTGACTACGGAAGTGGGGCTATCATACTATAAAATTCATGTACTTGGTCTTGCATTGATTGGTTGCGAGTGGAGTTCAGTGAGCATCCAGATTTGATTCTGAATCTGATTCAAGCAGCTAAAGTGCTAAACAAAACCAGTAAACCAAATAAAGCCTTGTTTGGTTCGCAGGAATAGGGGTCCAGAATTGGAATTGGAATGGGCTATTCCAGTTCCAACTGTTTGGTTGGGCAGAATAGAAATCCCATTTCCATTCCTGTTGAAATGGCATTCTCCCATTTGAGGGAATGGCCATTCCCTGCCCCTCTGGGAATGAAATCTCATTCCTGCTGATTTCAGTTCTTATTTCCATTCCTGTTTGAACTAAACAGACTATGGAAATAGGCCATTCCAATTGGTGAACCTAAAGGACCCTAAGAATCTATTCTTTGACTGGACTGGATAAGCACTTCTGCACTTCTGCCGCAGTTAAACAAAACCAACTGGACAAACACAAGAGCTCTTAAGGTTAGAATTCTCATTATTCCTTCAAAGGTCGCAGCTTGCCCAAGAGGTGATTATTGGAATTCCAAACATGCTTTATGCGTATTGATTTTTGAGTCATCAATTTCGTCTGCCAGTAGTCCTGATGAGGAATTTGAATTTGATCCTCACAAAACCTTAGGGCTGTGAGGACGAAATCCAAATTCGGCTGGAGCTTCATGGATGCCAAAGAACCACCGAGTTCAACTCAACCTGACTTGGTAGTCCGGTCATGTGTTTCGTAGGGGTTGGAAGAGCTTTAAAATTGGCCAAACCCAATTAAATCTTATACGTTGTCTACAGCTGCTGTCTGGTCCATACTCCATTGACAGCCTAAATGGGTGGGTGGTGTGTATAGCCTTTGTCAGCATCATCTTTACAAGCCTGAATCGTCTTCAAGATCAAGAAGAAGCCTAAAAGATGACCAATTGAAGCTAATAATTTACCCAACCTGCAACAAATGGATCAAAAGAGCTTCCATGTGGGAGTCCTAGTTGTATCCATCACCTTGGACGTCGCCGCACATGGCTGAGATGATGCCATTGATGGGCACACCTCATCCAATGGTATCTACACATAGTAGATACGCTAAGAAATGAAAGCTACTTTTCTAGCTTTGCTTGGTTGTGGTGTCTTTAGAACAACTCAATAGGTTATCATAACAGAAGAAAAGCAAAGCCATCTCTTCCTTTTTTTTTTTTTTTCTTTTTTCTGGGCCTCAATTCAGGATTCAGGAGCCTTGATGATGGTGGCCATGATTTGACGATAGCAACTCATAACCACCCAAGCTCTCTTTTTGTTCTAGTAGTTTTTGTTTATGAGACTAGTGATACCCTATAGTCAAGGATTGATGGGATTGCCTTATTTATTTTCTACATTTGGTGGGCTTATTTATCGGTTGCCACAATCATGTGCAGCCCATTTGATGTTAATGCTTAAAGACGGCCATACAACTCATGTTGAGGGGATGGGCTATTGGGTCGGTTCGGGCCTGAAGCCGTCCAACTGCCGGAAGGCCAGAAGGTCGAGTTTGGGTTGGTTGGGCTAACTGCGTTGGTCCATGCAAATTCATAAAGAAAGTGAATTTGATTTTTTTAGCTACCGAACAGTCCCTTGAAGAGATAAAATATTGTCAATGTTACTAGGCATCTCTTCTTGGCCATTGTCTCCATTGATCATCATCCAACGGTTGTAAGTCAGAGTTTGTAATCGTCATATTCAGCGAAATACTAGGGTTCCAATGGGCTCTCCGGCCCACAGAGCACGCCCTACAAACCATCGAGTCCAAATCTGCTCCTCACAGAGCACATCTCATACCGATTTCATAGCATGTTTCAGTGGAGACTGGCTTCAGTCAGGGCAAATCCATGCCCACACCGTTCTAACAGCTTTTTTCAACCTTGCATTGGGAATATCTCCTCATGAAATAAAGCATATAAGTATGGAGATATTCTCAATGCAAGGCAGTAAATGCTGCCCGAACAAAGTTTGCCCTGACCGAAGCCGAACTCGTTTTAGTGGCAATGCCGTACATCGGGAACAATTCCCATAATTATATGTTGTTGGTTGTGTTTGGTGTCATTGCGATTATTAATACAACATTTAGTATCATTGGTGTTTCCGTTTCTCTAGCAAATGTCAAATTTGATGTCTCTCCTTGTGTTTGGTTGCAGTGCAAATTTATTTGCACTAGTACAAATACATAAGAGTGCAAATGTAAAAAAAAATGCAAATTATTGTTTAATTTTGTTTTGGATTTTACTTTATTCTGCTTCATGTCTTAATTTACTTCATTTATACTGCAATCAAACAAAATAAGCTAAAATTTAAAACAAAAATAAGTCAGAATTTACACTCAAATATTTTGCACTGCCATGGTTTTGCAACAGTGCAAATTTATTTGCATTGCAATCAAACACAACCTAAATGCCAACACCAGTACAAAGTACCTATGCAATTACTTTTGACCAAAATGTTTATTTTCCAAATTTACTCTTTATATCAATTGCTACTCGAGTCTTTCCAATCTCTTTTCTAAAATTGATTTACTTTTTAAATTTACCCTTCATATCAATCACTCAAAAGCTAAAGCTGCAACTTTAAATTCTCCTTTTTTTTGTTGTTTTAAAATTTATATTATATTTTCTGTAAAAACCAGCCTTAATAGTAATTACATGGGTATTTTGGACATTTTCATGCCTCTTGGTAGATGATTCTAATAGAGGGGGTCTACTTGCAACTATGTTAAAAAGATTAGAGGAGATGATTGTAATTACCAAACTTGAAGGGAGGTTTCAGCAATAGTCCGAAACTTTAGAGGAGGTTTCGACAATAGTCAGAAACTTCAGAGAAGGTTTCAGCAATTTACCCAAAAAGAAAACTAAAAATTAACCTTAATGAATGGTTTACCTACAATATTCCTATGAGTCTTTGAATTGTTTTAAATTTTTAATATGTTAAGGCAAGATATTTAAAAAAAAAGGATATGGAAGGAAAATCATTTGGATTGGTGTGGTGGATATAATAGAGTAGGGAGACGCCATTTATTGCTTTAAATGTTTATCTATACTATCTTGCTAACGTTTCTTGCTTTTTTTTGTTTGGTTGGGCATCACTTTAAACGTTTTTTTTACTTCCACCTTAGAATAACACCCATAAAACATGCCACATCAGTATTTCGTTTCAAGAAATGCTAGAGCATTAGGGGAAATGTAAATTTGACGTTTCCCCAAATGGCCCGTGCACAAAAATCAAAGCATTTCCTTTCTTAGTATTTATATGATAAATGGTGAAACCAAATAGTGGTTCCATATGTAATAAACGACAACGCTTATGTGGAGTTGATGTGGCAGCATTTTTTCAATAAACGCCCATGGAACCAAACATAACCTTAAAAAAGGGAAAAAGGTTATTTCCTAATTCATCACATTTGTGAATTGTGAATGTATAGGAATAAAATGGGGGAATAGAGGAAGGAAAGAGTTAATGAGGGAATTGGGATTTGCTCACACAACACTCCTCACACCTACTTCACAGCACAACTCGCCATGTATTAGGAATATCTCCCCATGAATAAACCTATTCATGGGCTGTGCTCCGGCTTGACTTTTGTCAAAATTTGAATGGGCCTAGCCTGAAGCTCGAGCCTAACATAGTGGAAAGTTATGCTCGAAGCTCGGCCCATGAACAAGTCTACCCATCAATAACAATGCACCAATATGGGAGATGTTCCCAATGTGCGGTTAGGATGTGCTATAAGGTTGGTGTGAGGAGCAAATTTGGACTCAAAGGGAGGAAGCAAGAAAGGGGAAACAGGAAAAGAAGGGAAGTGTGACATAAACAACCTTGCTTTATGTATATAGTATTGGTGTTTTCAACTTGTCATTGATTTGATTGGTTGAACCATTCGACCCATAACTTAATCAAAATTCTGAGTCTAGTTTGCATGAAACTTGGCATTTGGTCAAAAACCATTTAACCTTATCAAAAAATATCCAACCTAGGTGGTTAAACCGTTGACCCAATCATACTAGTGTATGTGCAAACATACACTTGCCATAATTCTTTTTCCAAAAACCCTTTTGCCTCAAAATCAAAATTTTTAGCATTAAAAATTAAAAAATATAAATTAAACATAAAATATGTATATATATTTTAATATTCATATTACATCTAAACAATAATTATTTTTATTGATAATATATATATATATTTATTTATTTATGACCCGTTCCACACTTCGACTAGACGGTCGAAGCGGTGACCGTGACTCATAGAAAAAAAATGATTCGACTTCTGATTCAGTTTTTAAAACATGGAAAATTATCTAAAACTCACCATGAGTTTTCAACATTTCTCTTAAACTTACCACAACTTTTCAAAATGTCTAAACTCACCATGTCACTAAGTTGACGTTAAACAGGCTAACGGGCATTAATATATTATCATTCTAACCTTCATAGAAAAATATAAGATATATACAAAATAAATTAACAGGTATTAATATATTACCATTTTAATATTTAGACATAAAAACGGAAAAGTTCAAAAAAATATTTTCAAATATACAATACATAAAAACATAGAAATTACAAAAATATAAAAATTATAGAAATTACAAACAAAAAAATTATTTTCAAATTAGAAACTATAGAAATTGAAAAACAAAACCAGAAAATAAAAATTATAAAAAAACACCAAAAAATTATAGATTGTAGAAAATAGAAAAATGTAAAAAAACAAAAATTATATAAAACATTGGAAATTATAACAAAATATTAAAAATGCAAAAAAAGAAAAAAGAAAAAAAAATTGAAAACTGAAAAAGACTATTTTTTCTCTAACTCACCAAGGGTAATTTGATCATGAAATTTGTTATTTATGCATTATTGGTATAGTAAGAGAAGGTGAGTTTAACTGAGATGCTGAGCCTTACACATTTTGAAAAGTTGTTGTGAGTTTAAGAAAAATGTTGAAACTCATAGTAAGTTTTAAACAATTTCCTTAAAACATTGTATAGAATTCGGAAATTCAGGGTATAAAAGACGGTTCCCGCGGGAGAAACTCGGATCAAACACAAACAAACAAGCACCACTCCTCTGAAAAAACTCATCTCTTTCACACTCTCTCTCCTTCTTTCTTCTTCGTCTTCTTCTTTCTTCTCGTCTCGGAAACTTTTATTTTGCGCACGATCCCTGTAACAGAAATGGAAGGAGCGCTGGATTTAATGCGTAGGATGCATCCAAAACACATAGACACGTCTCTCACTGCTCTTATGAGTCTCTTACCTGATTACTCTTCAAATCTCCTTTCACAAGTTGATCAACCGCTTCAGGTGCGTTTTATTCGTTTACAACTTTACAACTCTCAGTCACAATCTCATTCGATTTTTTTTTTTTAATTTTTTAGGAAATTTCCTTGTTTGAAAGGATTTATTGAATTCGTGTTTCTTCATCGAACTTCTATCTAACTATGCTTTTCTACTTTCTCTTACGGCTTTGAGAATTCTGACAAGAATTCGAGTTTGCTTGTTACAACTATAAAACATTTAATTGTGCTTGTGTATTGATTGGTTTCTTGATCAATAGATACTATTCTTAGTTGATAATGCAGGATTAGCTAGGTTCTTATTTTTCACCCTATTATCTATCTATATTTTGATAATTAGGTTTGTCTTGTTATGAATTGAATGCAGTGCACTGTTGTTTCCTCTTTCTCGTTCCTTCCCCAGTCTCAGTTCTGCTCAATAGAAGGATTTTTCTTTTTTTTTTTTTAATATATGGATTTGTTATGCTTTTGAATGTTTTGATTTCTTTGTCTTGTTTTCTTGTTATGCGAGTGTTAGTTGAAGGTAATGAATGTTTATTTGGGTAACTTAGCCATGTTTTTCGATTTGTCTCATCTGCATCGCCAGTTAATACCTTTTGCAACATAGTTTGATGTGTTCATAGCATCTCTCCAACTAATTGGTTTATATGGTGTTTAGGAATCCTGATATTTGCTTGGGAACATTTTTTGTGCTCAATCTGCTTCTTACAGCTTCTTAACCGTACATGGAATGTTGTAGCTGCAGATTTATATCTGAAAAGATGTTCCATACAGATTATTTGTAGCTTCTTTCTGCTAGCAGGAAGGGTGTTCTTTATACTCTTGCATCTATTTAATATTTTTGAATCTCATTTGGAACAAGAGAACAGGTATTACGTGATATGGAATCTGGAAAAGAGTTCATATTGTGTGATTACAACAGAGATGCTGATTCCTATAGGTAATTGTCAGTATTCCAATAACCGCTGCTACTGAAAGCTGTAGAGAGGATAGTGGTATTCTGGTTCTAGTAACGGATTTTAAGTACTTTGTTTTATTTTGGTTTTCCCATATTTTCTTGTAGATCACCTTGGTCAAACAAATATCATCCACCATTAGAAGATGGAAACCTCCCATCGACAGAGTTGAGGGAACTTGAAATTGAAGCAAATGATGTTTTTTCAGTTTATTGTGACCAGTGAGGTCCTTTACTTACCTCGTCCTTGATGCCATTGCTATTTACGTAGATGTTTCCAGAATAAATGAATATTAACTTTTCAGACATTTTGCCTGTATATATTTTGAACTTGCATAACGTATAAAAGAAATTCCTTTTGTTTCTGATGGAGTAATAGAAATTTGATCACTAAATTGGTAGGTATTATGAAGGTGGAATTTCATCAGTATACATGTGGGAAGATGACAATGAAAACTATGTTAAGTTTATTGCATGCTTCTTGATAAAGAAAGGTCAGCTTTCATCTAAGCTTGCAAATAGAAAACTAGACTATGCTTATACCTGCAAAATAAAATAATAAGGGAGAGTATATTTTTACTGACATGGTAATTGTTGTTGATAAAGATGGTTCTAGTACAGGGCAAGGCCGTAGGGGTTGCTTGCAAGAAGGTATATGGGATGCTATTCACCTAATTGAGGTGGGTACTATTTTTATAGATATTTGGAGGATAGGATGTATATGTACCAGACAGTTATCCAACCTGGCTATCCTTTTGTAAATTTGAATTTTCCAACTAGGTGGGGGCAGAGGAAGATGGGATTGCTCATTACTGCTTAACCAGTACAGTCATGCTATCATTGACCACAAGTGATGAGTCAAAAGGCGAATTCACCTTGTCAGGATCAATAAGAAGACAGGTACTTGCCATTACTGATAATTTAAAAAAGAAAGATCTTAATCTTTATATATATTTTTTCTGCTTTAAAACATTTGTTATGTAGCAGAACTTCCTCGGGTCAAATAAACATGTTATAAGCATACTTTTGTCAATAATGAATGTTCAGTCATCCTGACTAATCTTTATGTCACTTGAGGATTGAAGTTCATATACAGAACATGTTGAGGCTAATCGATGTTCATATCAATGTTCAGTCATCCTGACTAATTTTGGCAGATTCTGGAGTTTTTAGCTTTTGCAGTCTGTATTTCTGGAGTTTGGACTGCTGACCACAACACACAGCTGACCACGCTCATCCAGCCGCATGTCGAGAATATCGGTGACCACAACACAACCGATGTTCCATATATGTGGCTGGGTGAACATGACCATCAATGTGTTGTGGTCAGCAGATCCGGACTTGTATTTTTGTGTCTGTGCTCATACTAGAGGCTAATCGAACTGCACTTGGATTCCAGAGACTTTCTACCCCGCCCCAAGTGGCAGAAAGAAAAAGAAGAGAATCTATTGCATGTGCAATAATATGAACCCTTAATCATATTTAAAGGGGATAGTATATAATGTATTTAGGGTTGATCTTGTTTATGAAGTTTCTAATCTAGTTATTAATATTAATATTAAAATCAATACTATTATTATTTAATTTCTGGCAGATGAATACGGACCTATCTGTTGCTGAGGGTCACCTTTGTAACATGGGAAAGATGATCGAAGAAATGGAGAGGAAGATGAGAAACTCGCTGGATCAGGTAAGTTCCAGACCTCTGTTTTGTATGGAATATATGTTTTCATACTTGCACTGTGGAATTCGCCCCTTCTGCCATAGAGCATGCATGGATGGGGTCCAGATTAAATTCTGAGTTCGTGAGTTGAAACCATTACTGCAAATGGCAGGTCTACTTTGGAAAGACGAGAGAGATGGTCTACACTCTCCGACGACCTACTAAGTGGTGCAGATGAGATTGCCCATTATTGGGCCATGCGATGAGATAGTCAAACAAGTGTTTTTTGCATCTTAGTTTCACCAATATCATATGATCTAGTTGCAAACTTGCAACCCCCCCCCCTCCCGCCTTTTTTTTGCTGGTTAAAAGTTTTCCTTCAACCTTGCACAATCACTTTATCCAATAGATCAATTTAGTGGATAGTGTAGTTATCAGTATCTCGTGATCTAGTTATCAATCCCATTAAAACTACATGTTGACTTTACCAGCTGAGCAAAACCAAATGTTCAGTACGGGACGGAATACTTGGGCCTTTTGCTTCAGATTAACAACCAGTTGCATTGGCTTCATCTGTTTTCATCTCTTTCGTATCATTGTCATGTCTTGCAATGGCACCAACTTCTCGATTAAAACACAAGCAACCACTCTTTTATTGTCTCAGATAAATTTATTACTATATATGGAATGCTGCTATGATTGCTTTGGGTGCTCTCATTCCTTAAAAATAACCGACCATATTATTGTCTCACATAAACTGGTAGTAATAAAGCTATTGTGAATCCACCTGTTTTTGCCACGTTGGTGAATTCAGAAATCCAGACGGTCAATTAGGGAGGTGTTTGGAATCGATGTTGATTCTTTTGATGAGGTTTTTCAAAAATCAAAGAAATTGCTTGTTTGGTTCCATTGTAGCCATGCCGGCCAATTTCTGATAAATCAGTTATGAATTTGTTTGGTAATAATTATCAATAGTGGTTTTTCATTTTTTTGTGTTTACAGGAACCATCTCCCATTCTCTCCTATTCATTTTTTTCGGCCTGATTTTAATGACCAATTTCTGATTGATTTGTGATATCTTAGAAATCAGCCAACCAAACGGCAAAATAATAGGTGAATGTGGTTCTAATATGGTGCCATATCTAAGAAATCAACATTGATCCCAAACACTACCCAGGTATGAAAAACTATTATTTCTTCGTTCCAGCCCTCTTCAATTTGTTCTACTTTTACCCAACATGAAAAAAAGGGTCCTTTATTAAAACACCCCCATAGTTTCATGTTTGACTAAAACCTACCCCAGAGTTTGCATTTTAGTAAAACACCCTTTATAATTTGCAATCAATTTATTTAAGCTCAGTTTGGAAGGAGTATAAATACAAATATATAGAGTGCAAAACCTTGTATTTTGTATTATTTTATATGTATTTGCACTGTACATATTTGCATTTGTACTCCTTAAGCATTAAGGGTATAAGACTTGAATTGCTAAACATATCCCAACTTTTCAGAAATTGACTTAAACATACCCTGAGATTTCAAAATGGACTTGAATATACCTCATGGGCTGAAGCCACTAGACTTAAACATAGGTGCAAGTTAAATATTCACGCATAAAAAAAAAAAATTTAAATCTTATTTTTCCCTTTAATGTTCTTTATTAGGCTTCGTGCTAATTGAACAATCAGGAAACATGAGTTTGTTTTGTCATGTGTATTGACAAAACCCATATGTAGCTATCTTGATGATACAATGGTATAATACACCACCTGAGTTCAACTGAACGGTGAGTAAATATGACTGTTCAACCCAGGCTAACAACTAATTTGAAACCTAAGTTTTCACTCAGGCTGCATGTTATCCCAAAAGAGAATACCACTTCAATTGTTAAACCCAGGTAAACACGATACCCAACTCAGACAATAATAACAGTATAATACATCAAGAAGAATTATTTTCTTTACCTTTTTCTTTTTTCAAATTAGGCTTTTATTACTTACAGCCTAATAGTAACAACAGAAAGACTTCTAAAGGATGGAAATTAGAAACCATTCACTAAGAAAATGGTTTTATCTTCTCTTTAGTTCTATTTGAAAATTTAAAAGAAAATGGAGGGTAAAAGAGTCATAAGGTATGTACAAGTCCATTTTAAAATATTAAGGTATCTTCAAGTAAATTTCTAAAAACTCAGGGTATGTGTAAGTTTTTTTACCCTTTATTTAATTGACCTTTTATTAGAATAAAGTGGAAAATGATAATTTTAACCCTAACATCCATTTAAATAAATTTAATCAAAAGGGAATATAAATAAAAATTCCAATTTTTCCCCTAGTAAGACACAATCATCCATTCTATTTGGCTCTACCCGGTCAATTTTGTTTTTGTACGAAGAAGTGTTAGGGGTACTTTTGGAATAAACAATTATGAGCCTATGCCCTTGAACATTTTCCACTTAGTTTAGGTGATCAGGTTACTATTTTCAGATGGCAAAACAAACATTTCTTAGTTAAAGGCCAATTAAGTAAATAAGTTGCAAACTATAGGATAGATTTAAGTAAATCTATGAAACTATAGGGGGTGTTTTAGTAAATGACTCAAAAATGATGTTGAGTTGGCATAAGGAATCAATGCACTTAGTTTACTAACATGAAATTTTCTCACAATTGGGAGTGATCACACTTTTCCCATGACTTCAAAGAAAGTGGGTGGGGAGTGCCTCTATTATAAAAAGGGTAAAATATTAAAACCTCCCTTGTAGTATTGTAAAAACATATAGTTACCTCGCTTTTCTTATTGTCATGGATGGAAAATGCTCGCCTAATGCATTAGTTTTCCAAAAGTAATCATTTTGCCCTTATATCTATTAATTCACATGGAAATTTACTAAAATATCCTCAAAACAATTTTTCACTTTTAATTAAAAAAATCTCCGCATTAAATTGAAAATAATAAAGTAATTTTATTTTAAGTGAAGTTTAGGAGGGCAAATATTGCATTTTGAATTATATTGAAAGACACCTTAATAAGTTGCAAGGCTAATTTCATACTTTGAAGTCTTCATTACTTGAACAAAGATGGAAGGGAGGTAATTGCAGTTTTTTGGTAAACTATAGGGAAGGTTTTTATGAAAGTGAAAGGGATGTTTTTATGTTTGTTAGAAACTTAAAGGGAGGTTTTTATGTTGGGAAAATTCCCGATACTTTGGGCCTAGTGTCACTTTGGTCCCCAAACTTTAAAATGTGACAATTCAATATCTAAACTTTTAAAACGTGCCAATTAGACATGTTCATGGGCTGGGCTCGGGCTTCGCTTTTGTCAAAATTTGAATGGGGCTCGACCCAAAGCTCGAGCCCAACATAGTGTAGGTCAGGCTCGAAACCCGGCCCGTGAATAGGTCTAATGCCAATTTAGTACTTACCGTTAACCAGCTGTTAACGAGCAGTACAGTGGCATTTGAATAGACACATATGTCCTTTGAGTGTCATCTAATTTTCTTTTGCAACCATCCAAACGTTGATAAAAAATGAAGTCTCAAACCCTTGCCTCTTCTATATAGACGTTCTCCATCTCTATGGCATTAAACCGGCAACACTGTAAAAAAGGGGTTCAGCTACTAACGAGAGAGACAGACAGACAGATAGAGACAAGCTTTTTTTACCTATAAAGCTTTCCTTGCCTCCTTGGTTCTCTCTCTATTAGTATGTTGCGAGAGAGGTTGAAGATGATGAGGGGTGAATAAGAAAAGGGTTCGACTATGATATAGAAAAGATATGATATCTGAAAAACAACTAGCTAATAAATTGAAATCATAAACGTTGTAGCGAATAAGGTGTTATTTATCAAAATTCATGGGTGGATTTTAATTGATCAAAACTCTTTCCATACCATATCTTTTCTACAGCATAGATTTTCCCGCATGTAAAACGGTATTAGAGTGTTTTTTAATAGATGATTTATTTGTGTTATATGGGCCATCATATAAGGTATATTTAAATAATTTTGTAAATCTTAGGGCGTATTTATATATTTTGGTAGAAGTATGGCTGTCATCCATAGAATCCAGATAACCCGTGTACCCTCCAATTACAGAGAAACACGTCGCTCAAATGCCCAATGGATCTAAACACAAACTTAACAATACTGTAACATTAACGGTTAAATTATTGGTTGAACCGACAACTAAAAGATAAAAAAAATAAGAAAATGCAGAATTAACAACACGGGTGCATCTCTTTTAAGTTTTAACAACTTTATATCTAAATAGGCGACAATGAAACATGATGGGCAGCATTTACAAGCTTTTCCTCAGTTAAATCTACAGTAGCAACAATATGTATTGCTTTCTCGTATCTTGGCACACGTTGATGGCTAATTAAAAGTTCTTTTTAGTAAACTGAAAAGAATAAAAGAGCAAAGAAGGAGACGCACAGGCTAGTTGGATAAGGTTGAGAAATCTTGAGAAGAGAAAAATGCTCTTAAAGTTGTTGCTCCATTATATGATTAAGATTTAAATATTTTAAACTAAATCCTAGATTTTACAGAAGAAAGCATGGTTTTCGAATCGCTATTGATTCGGATGGTTAGACCGTTTAGCCTCGGAATTATTTAGGCAATTAATTCTGTTTTACCCCAAATCCGGTTTCTGGCAAAAAATCATTGAATTGGTCAACTACCTATTAATCTAGATGATCAAACTATCAATTTGTTCAAAGGTTTTTGACTGTTTTTTATTTTTTTAATTTTTATTGTCAGAACGAACTATCCATTTAAACTGGACAGTCGAACAATCAACCCAGAAATCGGTAACCAGAATGATTTCATTTCCGGATAGTTTTTTTAAAACCATGGAAGAAAGGCTTTCATATGTATTCGTATCAGGAATTCAAATAAAGTTCAAATGTAATTCAGACATCAGTTGTTGATCGCCTATTTAGATATAAAGTTGTTAAAACTTAAAAGAGATGCACCCGTGTTGTTAATTCTGCATTTTTTTTTTTCTGATTGCATAACCACTAGTTCATTCTTTGCTGCTGGTTGATTCCGGTTTGGCCAGCGGCCTGGTCACAGGACAGGGCTAGAGCTCGGATGAGAAAATATGGGAGGAAAGTTTAAATGAGGCTTCCAAATAATCAAGTCGTGTTTTGAGCCTCATTTTGATAGTTTTTGCTTTGACATTAAGTCGAAGTTAAAACCTGATAGGCTGTTTGTCTCTAATTGAAAGGTACACACGCCCATGAATTGACGGATTCATGGGATTGGAGCTCAGTTGTAATCCATATATCTATACGATATTCTCTCTTTTCAGCAAATGAAATCTACAATTGCTAGTTCAGCTGGGTGTGTATGATTTTGTCTCCAGTTCATCCAAATCCCTCATCTCTAATCTTCCCCTCTCTTCCTTCTTCCCACTCTCTCCATCTTTCTCTCTCTCGTGAACAGCTGGGTGTGTATGATTTTGCCTTTCTCTCTCATCTCTCTCGTCTCTCTTCCATATGCATTTGTGTCTCTCTTCCTACTTCTTGTGTCTCTCTCACTTCCTCGTTCTTTTTCCCCCTCCTCCCTCTCTCTTGACCTTTTCCCCCCTCATCCGTCTCTACTTCTCTGTTATTTATTTATTTTTGTTTATGGGTTTTCCTCTTTTTCTGTTATGGTTTTGTGCACCTTGGTCTCCGTGGTGGTGGTAGTGGAGGCGGTGGCATTGTCAATGGGGATTTTAAGTTTGGCCTCTTTGCATGGTCGACGAAACCGTTTACATGGGGAAATCGGATTTGCTCCACAACATGCCTCACACTGACGAAACTGTTTATTCTGTCTCCGTCTACTGGATCATTTAATTAAGAGAGTAAATTTGAAAGAGAGGGAAAGAGATAGCGAGTTGGTGGTTCCCAAGCCGAGTGAGTTCGGCTTACATTTTGATTTCGTCGCAAATAAAACAGCAGCAACGGAATAAAATGGAGGCAAAGTGACTATTGAGTTTGGATTGCAGTTCGCAGAGAGCGAACATGCTGACTCACCAACCAACACAGCCCACATTGGAAAGGCATCGTTTCAAGCGTGTCGTGAAGCGATTGAAGGCATGGGGTTTCTCTACATTTTCACCCGCCTCCCCTTCTCCTCCACGTTTTTTCTTAAATCGACTTCAATATCCGTCACGTCAGACCACCTGTAAACCAACGGATTCCAATTTCATCTTCTCTCTTTGATTCTCTGTAGGCATGGGGTTTCTTTACATTTTCATCCGCCTTTGCTTCTCCTTCGTGTTTTTTTCTCAAATCGACTCCATTACCCGTCACGGCTTCACCACCTTTGTCTCTCTGTTAACCCTACTAGATCACCTGTTAACCAACTAATTCCAATTCCATCTTCTCTCTACTTCTTTGTAGTTTTGTTTTGCTTGTACTTGGGTGGGGTTTTGGTTGGGGGTTAGCATGGGAGACCAGCATGGGCTTTTTATTTCATGTCTTTCTTGTTAGTAGACTATTTTATTGTTTTTTCTACGTGAGTTTTGGTGCAGGTGTCAAGTGCCACAACGACCTTTGCTATGACATTCTCTTCTCAGTTTATTGTAGAATATTACCTTCTGAAGCGTTTCTCAGTTCCATATGGTAAGTAAAAGTGTAAAACCACTGTAGTCTCTATTATTATTCTTGATTTTGTTGTGCTCCTTTTTGAAGGTCGAGAACAGTTCTTGACGCAAGAATAAAGAGAGAAAAATATGTATTTGGTGTACATATGATGAAGTATTTAGTTTACTTCATTGTATTAGGGGTCTCTCTACTTTATTGTTGTGGCAACCGCTGTTGCCTTTATAAGGCAACATGTAGTGAGGAGGGTTATCATTGTATTAGGGGGGGCATCCCTCATCATCTTCAGCCTCTCCATCACAATCTTTTTCACTGCAATCTAACTAGGTGCGAAAAAGTGGTTTTAAGTATTAACATCTTCATTTGTATGCAATAAGGTTGTCTTTGGATCGTGGGGCAGAAGTGGAAAAGCAATTTAGATGCTACAATTCAGTGGAAAATGGGAATGACTACCCCCTTCCCAAGTTATTATTACCACCCATTATAATGATAGATAAAAACATGACTAATAGTAATAATATGTTATTTTCTATGATTTAGAGCTGAGTGGTGAAGGAGATTTTTCAACCACATATTTCTGCTTTTGCTCTAATGCAAATACAGCTTAACTGAAAGACCAAACAACTATTCTTCTACATTCCCCATCAAAAAATTGAGCTTCTTTAGTACTGAAGCAGATGGAGTTGGTATATCAAATATGATTTATAAGATCGAGAAGAATGAGTACATGGGTTTTGAGAACCTCTGCAAGTATGATGCTTAGTCCGATTTTTTTTCTTCATCGGCACAAGTTGAGCCTCATGCTTTTGCATCAATATATATATATATACATATTTGATGACGCTCAAAGATAACCTTTTTCATTATCTAATTTAATCTTACATTACTAGTAGCATCTCTTGTTTTGCAATGAATTCATGTTTTCAGAAGAAAAAAAAAGTAATTAATACCCTAAAGAATATTTGCAATCAATATATATTCTTAGGCCCTGTCAGTACTTTTCCGTATATTTCTTCTGTAAAAAGGGCAGCCAAGGACTTCATAACATGTCATACGCAGAAAGTTGGAAAACAACCCTGTTTTGCCAAACAGCCAAAATCTCCTACAAAAAATTTCATACCCTTGACACGTGAAAAAGTTCCCACGTGGGAAAATCATTGAATGGTTCTTGAGACTTCTCTCTAAACCGACTAGCAAGTAGCGACACCGCTCCAAAGCGCAGGATACAATGACACTGTTTCTACCCTCCCTTAAAGTAGGAAGGAAAACAATTCCCCCCTTCTATTCTCAAATAAATGAGTTCGATCTTCTCAAATGGCTTACACCTTGCAAATAAGAATGTAACGTATCAACAGTCAGTTGGCACCATGTCTGCTAAAGGGAAAGGAGTAATTGCCAAAACAAAAAATCTTTTCGTAATCAGTAGCAGGACTCTGAAGCAAAACAAAAATCTCAGCGCCTGGAAATAGAAAAGGTGATGTTAATGAAATTGGGATATAATATGTCTTCTAGTTAGGGCAGATTTCAGCGAACACCGGCAGTCTCTTTCTTCGAGAGGGGCCATATAGGACGTCATGTATGTACAAATTAACATCTTCTCTTGTTGGACAATGCTCTGTCGAAGAAGGCAACCGAACCTCAATGCCATCGTCCGCCGGGGACCAGTCGTCTTGTTCCGGCTTGATCATTGTTGTGGCTCCGGCCGATGTCGCTGTTCTCGACGGTGATGACACGGCCATGTGATGAATGAAGCGGCACTTACTGCCGTATGCGCAGGTCCCTGTAGCAAACGACTTGCAGAGCTGTCCCTGTACACGCAACAAAAATAGAAGAAAACGAAATCGATCAGAAACAGCAAAGCCCATAAACAGAGATGTAAACATGCTCATCGAATCACATGTAACTCATTAGAACGTGAACGTGCGCCGCAGGTCTACCCAATCCGAATCGAATGGAAAAAAGAACGCGATGTCATAACACTTTCTTTTGTCTCACATGATTAAGATAAAAAGAGCCCTGTTAAGTGTTTACCTCGGACTTGTTCTTGCTAGAGACACGAGTAGGACGCAGCTCTTCTTTTCCATGCGCAAACTGCAGTTGGCATTAATTTGTTAGACAAAGTACAAGAAAAGTAAAAGAAAGAAACGCAGAGGCGCAGACAAACAGTTTCTTTAAGAAAGAAACTAGTCTCATTCCACACATAAAGCTAAAAAATTGCAGAGAATTCTTTCTTTATGGTAAAAATTTCGCAGGGTATCCGGCGGTTCTTGATTGTTCGCAAAAGGCCATGAAGTGAAGCGATAAACAAAAGAACAGAATAATATTTTCTGTTCAAGATTCTCACTATAAAGTAAAGAATATGAAGTCAAGAAACGCATTCCGCGAATCAAATTCAGAACTATCATCACATGAATTCTCTCTCTCTTTTCCACTGTACCTTGGAGGACTCTCGGTACATATTTCAGTACTTTGTGCCAAAATAACAAAGGCGGGGAGATTCAAGCTATCAGGGAAGAAAAAGAAAAGACAATGACGAGCGGGACGGCTTAAATCTTTATAAGAGCCGTCCTCCCTCCGGACAGGGAGAAGTTAGATAGTGAGAAGCCACCCACTGTTTGGAAGAGAAGCCGCCGCCCCAATGAGACGTGGTGAGAAAGAATCGCTTTTCTAATTTTCTTTCTATTTTCTTTTTTATTTTTTGAAACCGCATTACTAAAAAGGTTCGACTATGATATGGAAAAGATATGATATCCGAAAAACAATTTACCAATAAACTAACTAAAAACATAAAGCGATCATGCGTTATTTATCAAAATTCATTGGTCAAAACTCCTTCCGTACCATAGATTTTCCCTACTAAAAATAATCAAATACTACAATGCATCGCTGTCGTCGGATCGTCATCACCTAAGAACCATTGGATCGGAATCTTATACAACAGGGCATACCTGCTTCAAAACCGTTCAATTTGGATTATGTCTATATCCAAATTTCCAATGGCCTGTGATATTCCATTTCCACCACATTCTTATCGTGGATCGGATCCTCTCTCAGTCAATCTTTTAACGCAGCAGATGCCGGAGATTGCTATGGCCTATCAGTCCACCACGGAGCGGCTGAACTGCGTGCTTGAAAAGGCAATAAGTTATTCAGTTCAGACACCTTAAACAGCACCAGTGACAGTTGCGGTCCATCCATTCATCCAATCGACGAGTCGTAATCCGCTGCACTTTGTGCAATTCCTTTCACTCTGTGGTGGTTTTCTGCATAGGTGGACTAAGACTGTCTAAGCCGTCCGATTGGTAGACTTTTTAGTCAGAGTTGAATCATTCTAAGGGGCTAACTTCACCGTGGACTGTTTAAGAATTAGGAGCCGGAAAACAGTACCTGGCATTTGGAGCCGTAGCGGCAATTACCGGTATCCTCCCACGCTCGACAGATCTCCGTCTTATAGAGGCTGTTCCCCGATGACGAGGAGCCGGAATCTGGCCCCGACCTCGTACGTCCACCCGGCACTGAACCGACCAGAATCCCGTCCATCACTAGCACGTCCTCTTCAACTTTAACCGGCGTGGCGAACACCGGCGGCGACTTCGACGGCGGGGTCTCCAGGTTCTCTATCGACGACAGAGGGGATGGCGAAGAGCCACGAGGCGATATGTTGGAGCGATGGAGGAGAAGCGGGTGAAACTTGGTGGAATCGATGATCTGAGATGGAAAAACGTCGGCGGAGGGTGAAAGGGATGCACCTGTGGCACGGGAGTACCGGATCAGTGTGGAGTCCACATCGAGGGGATTGTGAATTTGCGGATCAAAAGCAGAGCTGGTAAATCCATAACGGCCTCTTCTGCCGAGTATAAGCTGGTCATCGCTCTGTGGACTGATCGACGAACGGCCACCACTCCCCGTTACTTTAACGTTGTTGTTGTTGTAAAAACCGTGCATATGTGCTTTCCGTTTCTTTTCCTATCTCTGCTTTTATGAGAAAACAAGGAAACGCAAAGAAGTTTATCAAACTATCAAATTGAACAAGAACTTTAATAAATTGATTTAATGAAAAACAAAGGAAATATTTCAAACTCGCCAGTATTGTATTTTCCCGCCGTCAAAAAAAGAAATAAAAACAATTGGAATTACTATTTATTATTATTTTCAAATCACTAATACTGGTTTGACGAGTTTTGATGATCAAGAAACAGAAACAACAGATCATGATATGTGGAAATGAATAATTTAAATAAAATATTCCCTGGAAAGATGAAAGAATAGTAGACAGAAAACAATCGCAGTAAACATTTCCAGAATCGGCAGAAGATTTGAGATTTTGGAAGATCAAGCTATGTTTCTGAAAGTGTTACGCAAAATCAAAATAGAATTCAGTTCGGATCTGCTTTTAAACAGAAAAAACCAATTCTAGCTCTGTCGAATTCGACTATGTGAAAAGAGAAGAGTCGAAAGAAAAATTAAAACCCTAGATCAATTTTATCAATCAGATTGTTCATATTCTTTAACAAAAACTATCAAAACAATTCATATAGTCTTTCATTTTCAAGAACAGAAATCATCAACTACCTAAGACAGCTTCTTGTATGCCAGAATTTCAACCTCGATCTCTGATCTCCGGTGCCAAACAACCAATGGTAGTTTCTTCGCTTCTGCTCCGAATGGTATCCGTATCGAGACAGTCTGTTGTCGACCAAAGCCGCTTGGCCTCTTTGATTTTTGAACGAGAAAGAATGAAGGAGACGACGATCGCATTTTTATAAGCCCGCGTCAAGAAATGAATGAAAGAGATATCCTGCGCCTGCGGTCCCCGGGAGGTTGATGATGTAGCAACTCCTCCGCAGCGGGCTCTCTACATACAAATCTAGACCGTCCAATCATCCGTCAACGGCGTCGATTGTCTTAACGAAGTCGGCGTCGTGTATGTGGACTTTTAACGGGTATTTCTGTAATTTTGCTCGAAGTTTAGTTAAGACTATAGCCCAGAAAAGTCACACGTGCACGCCGCTTGCACACGTTAGCAACTCCAGCCTCCAGGACGAGCCCAACTAGACCTGTTCATGGGCCTGGTCGGGCCGGGCTCGGACCGGGCTTTTACTCATCATTAATGGAAATACATTAGGCCCGAGCCCGAGCCCGGCCCGACCAACGGGCCTATAACTTGGGCCCGAGCCCGAGCCCGATCCTAATAAAAAGTCCAAAGCCTGAGCCCGAGCTTGAAGCCCGACCTAATAAAAAAATTACAATTTTTCCTATTCAAATTAAAATTAAAAATTCAGATGTTTTTTTTCTATTTAAATGAACAACGAGCCTACAAGATGGTTTTTTTTCCTTTCTTTTACGTTTTAAAACACAGTTTTATATTCTTAAATAAAAAAAAAAATTATTCAAATGGACATAATCACACAACTCATTTTAAGTCTAATTTTAGGTCGGACTGAGCTATTTTGACAAAACCCGAGCCTGGTTCGAATTTATTATAGACTAGGTTTTTTGACCCGAATTTAAGCCCGCAGGTCTATAAACATGTTCAAACCCATTCGGAGGCCGAGCCCCACCTGGCCCATGAACAGGTCTAAGCCCAAATAAAGAACTCATGTTCATGATCCTAGACATTTTTTATGAGTCGAGCTTTGTCTCTAAAAGTCTACATCACTATAACGTTTCCTTCGTATCTGTTTTCAGTGATCACTATCACATCACGTTTAAATTTGGCGTTACTTTAAATCACGCCTCATCAATTTCTATGGCTTGAAGTCCCATTTTTTATAAAAAAAAAAACAGTACCAAACATATTGATATTTTCTGAAGCACTATTTTTCTGACATTATTCTGATGTGTCACCATTTTCTCAAGCAATGGTATCATGCCAAACAGACACTATATTATTAGAAAATGTTCAGCATTCATGTCCTAGTCCAAGCCCGACGTGGGAATTGGAAAATATTTTTTTTCATTTAATAATAAAATTGATTATTTATAATAAACTACTTCAAAATTCAGAAATACAAAGATTTGACTATGGTTTTAGAAAAGAGAAGAAGAATAAAGAAAAAATAGAAAAAAAATTACATATAAATACCTTATACTTTGCGAATAGTGACACTACTTACGTCCAACATCATATGGTGAGTGGTAAAATTACCAAATTGACCATTTTAAATTCCTTTTATAGTAAACTATAGATAGATACGTTGTACTTTGGGAGTAGGGGTGAGCAAAATAAATCGAAAAATTGAATTGAAAAATCGATTAAAACCGAATCGGTTGGTTCGATGTTTTTAAAAAGTCGAAGGTACTGGTTCGGTTTTGGTTAACCAATATAAAAAACTGATGGTTAACCAATACGACCGGTATACATGTTTTTCTATATTATATATATTTTATATATTATAAATTGATAAATATGCATTATATATAAATATATGTTTATAATATATTTATTATTTAAAATATAATATTATATACATTTATAATTTTTTATTATATATTTATATATACTTTTATAATATATATTATAAAAACCAAAAAACCGGCAAATTGAATCGACGATTAACCGAATCGGTCAACCAGTTAACCGACTAATTTCGGTTCGATTCCGGTTACAGATTTTCCAAAAATCGGTACTACCAGTTCGATTCAAAAAAAGGCCCATGGTTCGGTTATCCAAACTGTGAGCACCTCTATTTGTGAGTAATGACACTTAAAGGCTTAATTTGGAAAGAGTACAAATATAAATATGTAAAGTGTATTAAGCTCATTATAGAAGGAGTATGATACAAATATGTAGAGTGCAAAACCTTGTATTTTGTATTCTTTTTGTATGTATTTGTATTTGCACTCTTTCCAAAATTAGCCTTTATATGTATGTATTTGCATTGTATATATTTGTATTTGTACTCTTTCCAATTTGAGCCTTATATTTTTTGGTATGTATTTGCATTGTGCATATTTATATTTGTACTCCTAAACTGAGCCTAAGGCTCTATTTGGAAGGAGTACAAATACAAATGTGTAGAGCGCAAAATTTTGTATTTTGTATTATTTTGTATGTATTTGTACTCCTTCCAAAACTGAGCCTAAGGGCATGAACTTTCAAGTGCAATACTTTAGTACCCTAAACTTTATGAAATTAATGGGTGGTAAAATTACCTAAATGTCCACTATCTACCAATTTATTTTAAATCAATGCCACTAATTTTCAAAAAATAAACATATTAGAGACAACTTAGGAAGGCATAAGGATTGTACTAAGATCGGAAACGTAGTTCTAAAATTTAATAGTTTCTAAAAACTTTGAAAATTGGAGTCCCTTAAGTGTCACTACTAGACTTGTTTACAGGCCGGACCAGCCCGGTCTTTGCCTCTACATTAACAAAATATGCTCAGACTTGAGCCCGAGCCCGAGCCCGAGCCCGACTAGACATTTGGAAAAAAGAGTGTTTTTCTTTTTTTTATTCAATTAAAAACTATTTTATTTATAATAAAAGACCTCAAAACCTAAAAAAATAATGAAAGAACACATTATTACTTGAAAAAAGAGAATAAAATAAAGAAAAAACATCATATATATTTATTATATAATACATAATCAAGTCAGGCTCGAGCTTGGATTGGGCTTTTTTAAGAAAACTCGAGCCTAGCCCGAAAAAGAGGTTGGACCCGATATTTTAGGCCCGAGCCTAAGCCAGTGGGCTTGAAATCCTATCGAAACCCAACTTAAATCGGGCCAGCCTATCAGGCTACCCGACCCATGAACAAGTGTAATCACTACCACTAAAGTACATGACACCTATTGTTTAGGGCTATAAATAAGTTAGATCAATTCCAATTTGAATCCGAATTTGATCTATTTAGTTAATGGATTGAATTTGAATATGCCCTAATCCATTTGTTTGTTACATAATATTATATATGTAAATTCTATATATTATTTAAACAATTATATACTATATACTATATATTATAATATATTATTATATTATAAAGTTTTTTTTTTTTATTACAATTCAAATTGAGTTAAATTCGAATAAGATATTTGATAACATAATCTTGAAAATACAATGGGTTCTTATCATATTCGAGTAGTCATATTTCTTGTCGAATCAGATCGTATATACCCTTTACCAAATCCGAACTAATTTTCTTGTAATTCTACTATTTGTAATTGTCCCTTTTATATTATATAAAATATTGTCGGGTTAGGCTTAGGTTCAAGCGAGGATTTTTTTGAGAAGCATGATGAGTATCAACACCAAAAAGGTGGACACTACAACCCTTTGAATCGTGGATTCCCCTCTTAAACGCTTCGCGCCACTAACTTGACACCACCTAAAGACTCTAAGTACTCTAAAACCTTGGCATCACTCAAGCTTAAATTCCCTTTTAGATATTTTCATTGATCAAGAGTTATGATATCATGATTCCCCTAAAACCCATCTAACCAAATTTCACCTAAGAACTCCCTCTCTACCCTTTGCATCTTGTATGAATGGTTTTAATTGTGCCGTGGGGATCATTGTTAGAAATTATGGTGGGAAAGTTTTAGATATAGAGGCATACTTTCTGGATAAAGCCATAATCAATATGACAGAGGCCTAGGCTGCATGTTGAGCCCAAAATCTGGCTTTAAATTTCAAAGATTATCCCATAATCGTAAAAGGGCACTCAAAGCTCATCATCAACCGCTGTAAAGCATACAAAACATCATTGAGGATTGCATTGCATTGAAGACCCAATTCGAGTTTGGTTTAGAGTATCACCATGTCTTTCGTGAGGCGAATCAAGCTGCTGATTGGCTTGCTCATCAGGCTCAATTCATTCCTTAGACTCTTTAAATTTTGATTTGGAGGATCTCCCTCCCCCTCTTGGTTTTAATATGTAATAGTGATTCTTGCGGACGTGCTACCCAGGCTTGTGTAGCACGGCTTGGCTTTATAAAAAATAGACTATTCCATTTCACAAGTTGTCGTTGGCCTACATAACTCTCCTTTGGTCTAGCATTAACACAATAAACTATCTAGAGGTAATCTTGGTCACCAAGTCAATCAACCCTTATAAGAGAATATTCCTATCTAGAATGACATTTCTACCACTAAGAACCACTAAAATACCCCTAAATTCCTCTCATTATTTCTCTTACCTAAAGTGCCCCTAAATTCACCTCTTATGGTCTACCCTAGAGGGGACCTAAGGCATTGAAGCAACCTTGGGAAGTGAGCCTATTCTCAAATATATTCCTACATCATCCTACTTCCCTTGTTTCTTGGTATTATATATTTTATTTTCCTCTTTTTCTTAATTTTTTTTGCCAAAAAAATGAAATAAGAGTTATTCATTTTTCCTTTTTGTTTATCAAGGGAGGGAAGGATTGTTCAAACGTTGAAGGAGGAAAGAATCGCCATGGGCGAGCTTTGAGCATTCTCCTCCATTTTTCTTGGTACCAGTTCGACACTCATTCATCGCCACCGCCTTCAGACGTGAGGGAAGGAGATAAGGGCTCGAAGGAAGAGAGGACTGCAATGGATGAGCTTTGGCATTCGTTATAGTCCCAAGCACAGATGAAAAATCCTGGAATATGAAACGGAGCCGAAATCTCCCCAACGTCCGTTTATTCAAGTCCAAACGCAAAGGTTGGTTCCCCTCATGCCGTTTCTCTTCCTTTGTTCCTCCTCCCTTATCATTTTCGTAGAAGCTTTGGACAATGGATGAAAGGAGGTTGTTGCAGTCGTGACACCCATTTCCCCTTCTTAAGTAAGAGTCGATGATTCCGAGAAAGGTGTATAGATGTGAACTTTAGTACTGCCCCATTCATCAAATTTTGGCCTGAAGGAGCTGGGCTTGAACCGGGCCACACAACTCATCCCCCTACATTCCATTGTTTAAGCTTTAGATCCCTAGTCATAACTCTGGTATTCTCAGCCTAAATTCTAGACAAAAACTCTGTTCATTACCTTTCCAATCTAGGTCTACTTTCGATCCTCTTGAATAGTGGCTAGTTCCAAGAGAGGCGTGAAGATGGGAATTCTTGTTCGCCCCACTCATTGGATTTCAGTCCAAAGCCTAGGTTATGAACAGATGAAGCTTGAGATGCCTAACAAGATTGAGTGGTATACTCGATGTTTGATGATTTTTCTCTTTCAATTCACAGTGAAGTTTAGTATCAGTTGAGAATAGTAGGTTAGTGGTTTAAACATGCTTGAATTGATAAACCTCTCAAAATAAATAAAAAATCAATAACAAAAGGAAATAAAAGTAAAATAAAATACATAGTAAGTAGATTGTAAAATCAAATGATATCCTCCTAGAATCCCTGGATAGCAAAAGTCCAACAGTATCTAGCCTTTTTTTTTCTAGAATTTGTAGTATTTAGCTTATTGCCTTCTTGGAATTTGCCTAGATATATGCTTTTGCTTCTTGTAAAATATTCAATCTTGTGTAGTTTAGAGTGTTTATAGGTGGACTTGGCAAACTTCAATACAGATTGTCGACTGTAGTGTGTCCAAATCACTTCTCGGACTCGGCTCGTTAGCACTAGAAGTGAGGCGGTGGCAGTAATAATACTCTAGTCACGGCATAGATTCTTTCTCGGAGGTTTGTCTATGAAGAAACCTGATTATCAGAGTCTAGAACACTTCTCGAACTCAACCTGTCAACACTACCAATGTTTTGTACTCGTGTATTTAAAATTTTCTCAACTTGGGAAGATCCAAGAATTGCCAAAAACATCTATTGCATAAAACTATGCCATTTAATGCATTTTCACCCTACTTGCATCATTGAATTGTTGAGTCTTCTGTTAGGAATCTGTTGTATAGGCTCAGTTTGGAAGGAGTACAAATGTAAAACCATACATTTTGTATGCATTTGTACTGTACATATTTGTACTTGTACTCCTTCCAAACCGAGCCTTATTTGTATAAACTCCACCGGTTAATTTTTTGCATGTTCAAGGAAATTGACTTTCACATAGAAAGGAGAGAGGGGTGCCTAACACCTTTTCTCTCCTCCCCAACTTACCTTGAAGGCCCTTACCTTAGGAGTCACTAAAAATCAAAATCTTCTCTGAATTCCAATATTGGGTGTAGGGGTGCTCATGGTTTGGTTAACCGAATTGTGGGTCTTTTTTTTTTTGTAACTGAACCGGTACTATCAGTTTTTGGAAAACTGATAATCGAAATCAAACCGAAACTAATTAGTTAACCGTTTGACCAGTTCAGTTGACCTTTTTTTTGGTTCATCGGTTTTTTGGTTTTTTATTTTTACAATATATATTATATAAATATATAATAAAATTTATATATATAATATTATATTTTAAATAATAAATAATATATCATATATTATAAATATATATTTATATATAATGCATATTTATTAATTTATAATATATAAAAATATTAAATAAATATAAAATATATAGAAATATATGTGTATTGGTTGGTTTAATTAACTGCTGGTTTTCTATATTAGTTAACTGAAACTGAACTGGTACCTTCGGTTTTTTTAAAACATTGAACCGATAAGTTCAATTAACTGATTTTTTTGTTTGATTTCGGTTGGTTTAGTTTTTCGGTTTTTTTGCTCACCCCTAATTGGGTGTCCCATCACTCCCTTTTCTCTTTAATGATGTGTGGCATCTCCAACAATTCAACCAGTAAGGTGGGCTACTTTTTGATACCTACAATGAGCTTTGCCAAAAAAAAGTTGAGACTCATCTTTTGGGCCCAAATCCATCTCCAAACTCAATAAAGAACAGGCCAGGTTGGGCTGACCCATTTGGCTACCTGGCTCATGAGCAGGTCTACCTACAAAAAACCAAAGATGCCATCATGTATTCCTTCACTCTCTAGGGCTAGGGCTGAGCTAGGGCTGCAACTTGGGCTAGGTTAGGCCAACCCAACTCAACCCTAACCCAACCTAACTTTATATTTGTATGTACAATTATTATATAAATACTTATGTATATCTGTAATGCATGTGGCATGTATGTATATGTACAAATATGCACCTATGAATTAATATATGTATTTATGTATAGACAATATGAATGTCAATAATTTTAAGTTTAAAGGCAAATGTTTAAGAAGCATGATTACTATGCCCTTTTACATATAATAATGCTAAAACTGGATTGATCTTTTATTGTGAAGCCAAAAATGGCTGAGTCAAAACTAAATTGATCTCAACCCTTGAGTTTTAGAGACAAGAATATTGATAAAAGGAAGTAGAAAAATCAAATCAACCTAAACCCAACCTGGTCCCAAATTTACCCAAAAACTATGGATTGGATTATGGTTAGAATCGGGGGTTCCGCAGCTCGGATTGGGTCAGGGTTGATGCCAATCCGCTACAAGAAAAAACGGTCAAAGCCGGCGGTCACAAGAACCGCCGTTATAGGAATATCTAAGGCGGCAGAAAAGATCGCCACCTACATTGGTTTAAAAGGCTGACGCGGCGGTCTATAACAATACCTTTGGCGGATTTTATAACCAAACCGGAATTAAAACGGTCTAAATTCCGGTTCAATAGACCAAACGCGGGGAGGCAAAATTTTCCTTCTCCCGCACGAAGGCTCCTTCTATTCGACAAGATAAATTACAGAGAAATTTATCCCGCGCGAAGGTTCTCTTTCCAGCAGAGAACCTTCTTGGAGAGAAGTTTTGAAGAAGACAGAAGGTTCACGAGCAAGATAAATTACAGAGGAGAATCAGTGTTGTGCTTTAAAAAAGCTTTCTTTCTTCACGAGTGAGATAAATTGTAGAGCAGAATCAGTTTTCTTCACGAGCAAGGTAGAAGACTTCTTCGATTGAAAAAAATTGTAGAGCAGAATCAGTTTTCTCTACGAGCAAGGTAGCAGACTTCTTCGATTGAGAAGGGGAAAGATCCCTTTATACTTGAGAATGGGAAATTACTGGGCATCCAGCACCGACCTGTTCGTTCAAGCAAGAGAAGGTAACGTTCTAATCCTTCTTTTAATATTCACACTAGCTAGCTACAGCTCCATCTCTCATGGCTGCCATCCAGTCCATCAAGGTGTTGGGGAAATGCCAGGTCTTTCCACCTGCAACTTCAATCGAGCATCATCCCTAACCTCAAAAACTCACCCTCCCTCGCCCTCCAACACTTCTACATTCTTGGCGGAAGCCTATTTGTAAAGGAGACAGTTGATGTTGGAAAACCCTAAACCTATACCAGAGAAAGAATCTTTCTTCTGTATTTTCCAGTTTTTGTGTTTTACTTGTTCTTTTACATTGTAAAGGAGGATTTTGCTATGTTGGTGGTAGGCATAAAGCTTTCACGAGACCTTTATGATCACAAATCCTGAATAGTATTTCAACATAAAATGGAACTTTGAAACTTGAAACACAATAGTTAGGAATTGGGATATTTAGTTGACTTAAGCTTCCACTATGCAATCCTGTTTCTTTTGAGATGTTTGTAGCATTTAATCTGTGAAAACTTTTTCAGGGTGTTGGTTCTGGTGCTCAAAGTGATGTTTTTTTCTTATCATGGAATGACAAGGTTCAGCATATACTTGCATCCACTTCACATAATGGGACGACAGGTGGACAATGAATATATATTTATTTTCCAGAATATTTTAAAAACCTATTCAGAATTTGCACATTGTTTATCTGAGAGCGAGTATTTTTTTACCATTTTTAGTGGTGTGGGACTTAAGGCGGCAGAAGCCAGTTATAACTTAAGTTGTTTATGCTTGGTGTAAGATGTTCTATGCACTTTTTTGGTAATGAATCTACATGGTGAATTGTATATTTAAACATGGCTTTTCACTTTCCGACAGTTTGTCAGATTCAAATAGAAGGTGAAGCTCTGTTTTACAATGGAATCTTGATATTACAACTCAGCTTGTTGTTGCATCTGATGATGACAGTTCACCTTCTCTAAGGGTACAAATATATGTCTTATTACTAAAGATTTTGGTCCTATTATTATAGTCTTATCTTAAAAATATTATCGATCTTAGTCTAAGTAATCCTTTTATGATATTTATAACAGTTGTGGGAAATGAGGAACCCAATATCACCATCAAAAGAATTTGTTGGACACATTCGTGGTATGTTATCTAACATGATAATACTTCATTTCTCCTTTTGTTAAATGCTAATATGGTGGGCATGATTTACAAGTTAGGCTGTTTTTAATAATATGGCTGTTGCTATGTTTTGATAACTTTATTTTGTGATTGGGAATCCTTGGTGTGTCTCCCTGGGTTTTAGAAAATTAGGGTACTAATTGTAATTATTTGATGGTTGAATTTTGCTCTAATTTCTTTAGTTCATTATACATTGTTTTTTTCTTAATTTGTTGATGTCATATTTGTTTTCTTGCCTTTTCTTTTTCTTTTTTTGGATTTTGTTTCCATCACTTGATTTTGCGGGTGAAAGATGTCTGATAGGAATTGGAGATATGAAGCAATTAGATATTGGTAGAGATTTAGAAGTTGGAGTTTTGTTTTGGGTGGGTTGGGTTTTCTGGGTGATGTTTGTGTTGGAATGGTGAGTGATGGTCTGTAATGTGGTAGGGCCTAGACCAATTCCTGTTCCTGCCCTTTAAAAATGAAGCACGTGGCATCTCATTAAGGCCTAGACCAATTCCCCAATTCACGGACTGTATTTCCAAACCATTGTTCCTGGTTCCTTCAGCCACTCTACTATTAATTTAGAGTCTTTCAATTCCCAATCTGTCATAGTTTCGGTCTCTAGAAATTTGTACTCCTTGCAAGACTGCTTGGAACTCAGCATACACCGAATCCCTTTCTCCAACAGGCCCTGAATTCAGGCATCTTTGTATTCCTTGCAAGACTGCCAGAGTACAATGAAGGATTCCCACAACTGTTGTGCTTCGGCCTTCACTAAACCCAAGGAAAAAGGCAGGCACCAAGTAGATCACCTCTCAACATTCTTATTGATATTGTCTTAATGCAGAGTCCCCAAAACCTATATAGTGGTATCACAACTATGTTTTGAAAACCAATTGGTCTAAATAGAAAAGAACTAGATAGGGAACAAAAGGAACATTTTTGTCTTTTGATAAGCAAAAGCTCTCGGAGGTTGTGATTTGTGAAGAAATTAATGGATCTATAGTAATCCTATAGGCGAATATGTTTTATGTTGTTGGCCCATTGACAACTGGGTGATTCTTTTTTGCTAGATTTCCTTATCCTGTATAAATTACTCTCTATAGGCTTTACAGACTTTTCCTTCTCTTTTACATAATAAAACAAAATTGCATTAAAAGAAAAGAAAAGAGGTGTAAAAGCTCTGTACAGGCAACAACCCATAAAGGCAAAAATAAAGATACTAAATATAGCTGGGAGCAGCATACATAAAAAACCAACCCTGAACCAAAAATATCCTATACATAAACCACTATACAAAAGGCACCTACCCAAAAATCAGATCCAAAGGAACCTTCCACAGATTAAAAAAACAGAAAAACTAGCAAAGAGACCACCACCCTTCACTAGATCCACATAGATCCCACTTCACTCTATGGCCTCTCCATCTTGGACTTGCATTTGGAGTTCACACCTTTTCTTCTTTAGTACAAATGCATATTTTCAATCAGAAAAATAATGTACATTCATTAATGTAAACCAAAAGCAAATGTACAAAATGATTGTATGCAGAGGGATACACAAGATGACAAGAATACCATAGCCTAAAATTATCAAAAAAGAAAAAAAAAAGAATATCATAGCCTATCTGTATGTTAATGTTAGTCCCACTCCCACCCCACCTATCTGGGGTCTTAGGAGGGGTGGACTGGATGCAGACCTAACCATAGATCTTATAAGCTTGGGTAAATAAAAGAGAAGATAAAGAGAATAGGGGAAAGTGACATGAATCAAGTTTTGAGTAAAAGTGGCACCGTCAAGTTTGTAAGATTGGCATTCCAATTTGTGTAGATTCACCACTGTATTCAATTTCATGGAGTTTTAAAGATGCAGGTTTTTACTATAACAATTTGAGCTAGTCTGTTCTTATTTTCGCCACTAGGTTTTAAACATGCATTCTTTCAGTTTTAGTGTTCGCTGCAAAGCAATGTTGTACTATTATGTTTAGCTTTGTATCCAATATCCACTATTTTGAAGTGAAGATCCCCAGAATGTGTACCAAATGGAAAATGCCCAATTAGAGAACCAAATCCCTAGAGTGGTCAAGTATATCTGTTAGGAGATAGCTTGCTTGTATGAGCAGTATATCAAAATAACAATAACAATAATAATAAATAAATAAATAATGTTACATATCAGCACCTTTCTATAAATGTGAACCCATGATGAGAAGAAACATAGAGAACCATCAGATGCAGTGAATAGAGGCAGGAGATTTAACAAGAAACAACATTATAAGCATAATCTACCTAAAATTTCAATGCAGATAAAACCAGCAGAAGAATAACTAGCAACAACAGGTAGCATTTGCAGTTTTCTTCTCCGCCTGTATGTGGCCTGAATTGCTGCATCCATCCACATCTCCTCAACTAATGGTGCATATTCTCGAGTAGCAGCTGGGAAAACGGCTTCCAAATTACCTGACACCATAACTTTGGGAAGCCAATCGGAGAATGCTTTCAACCTTGGACCAATGGAATAGATAGTTTTTTCTTTATTCTCCTTGACATTTCCTGTTGTTAATTAAATTTCACTTTCAGATTCCTTTGTATAAGCAAGACCTCAAATCAAAGGTTCATGCTGGCAAAAAAAAAGCTCTGAAACATGCTTTAAGTTAAAGTTGTTTTTAAAAACCGACCACAAGAGATACTCCATAAATCAACTAAAACTATAGAAAAAATACTCCATTAAAAATTCAAACACATAGGAGGGGATGGGGCTAATTCATCACCCCTACAGGGGGCAGGGGAAAACGCATTATATATGCACAGAAACTACAAGTTCGAGAAACCATGGTATCATTTTTTATTTGCTGGGATTTGTTCAAGGAAAAGAACCATGGTATTTTTTTAGCCAAGTAAACGTGATCCAAGGAAAATACAGACTGATGAAATCTGACTCAAGAAAGCCATACCCCAATTAATGGGTTCCATGTCCTAATTAAATAAATATGCTTCATTCATTTCATATTGGTACACCACCTTTGAGAAGACTGAAGCATGAAACCTGACTCAAATTCCAGTCCTATATTATAGAAGGTTTTACTGTTGCTTTAAAAAAAGAAGGTACTACTGTTCACAAGAAGTTGACTTTGATGGTTCATGATTTTATTTGGGAAAGTTCATTTAAAACCAAACTTTGAGTGGATCAACACAATCATCCTATTGCTATGAGGCTTACGTGTATCTGGTTCTGTTAGGAAGCTGCAGACTCTGTTAATTAATTGAGATGACAAGTAATATACACTTAAGATCTAATCTCTCTTGCAGTTCGGTCAATTAAGAAGAGAGAGGACTAAGCAGTGTAAAAGCTGCATCTATCCGGTTCATTTTTTGCGCTTACATGTTGGACCAGTCTTCTTTTACATTGATGGAGATTTGTCTTTACACCTATATGCTTTATTTGTATTCTCTCTGCAGTTCATTTGAGAGCTCCTAAGTGGTTGAAACGTCCAGTTGGGGCCTCTTTTGGTTTTGGTGGGAAGTTTGTTTCATTTCACCTGGGTCCAACTACGGGTGTCTAAACCGGAAATTCTCAGGTAGCTTATCCCTCTAATTGGTTGTCCTGCTTCTATTGTCTGCCTTCAATACTGATAACTGGAAATTCTCAGCACATTTCCTTTGTTTTTTACTCAGGTTTATGTGCATAATTTGGTCACTGAACCAAGCACATCATTTGACTTAATAATTTATGTTTCTCAATGCTTTAGTACCATGTATTGTCTGGAGAAGATCTGAGGATGATAGAGAAACATGGGGCTTCTTGAAGGTCATGTTTGAAGAGGAAGGGACAGCAAGGACGAAGCTACTCACCTTGGATTCAGCATACACACCAAAGGAAATGATAATGTACAGGATGAGCTTTCCCATCAAATAAATGCTGTGAGTCTTGATGAGAAGTCAACAGATAAAACTGGACTAGATGGAGACAATGATGTTGGTATATTCTCTACGGATAATGATGAAGACTTCTTTAACAATCTTCAAAGCCCTAAGACAGATCCATCTCAATCACCTTCTGGTAAGAACTTTGTAGTCGAAGGTAGTGCAGTGCCTAATGGGGAGCAACTGCAAAAAGATTTTGATGGAGTGGGAGCGGACATTGATCCTTCAGTTGAAGATGGTATTCAGCGTGCTTTGGTTGTCGGAGACTATAAGGAAGCAGTTACCCTGTGTATATTAGCTAATAGAATGGCTGATGCTTTAGTTATTGCTCATGTGGGTAGTCCTTGTCTGTGGGAGAGCACACGTGATCAATACCTGAAAAGGAGCCATTCCTCTTACTTGAAGGTAGCTAACATCTCAATTCTTTCCTGCTGAATTAATGGCAATATGGATGCAGTATTAGAACATACAATTTGTTAATGGTAATGAATTCATGTCAGTTTTCATGAAATCCTTATCACATGAAAAATTTTTGTGTTCAGATTGTTGCTGCAATGGTGAACAATGATCTTGCAACTCTTGTAAACACCCGGCCCTTGAGCTCTGGGAAAGAAACACTTGCCTTTCCTTGCTTTTCATGTCCAACTTTGTATTGTTGATTTTGTTTGTTGGTTCTTTTTTCACTATCTTAATCCTTCCTATGTTTTGTAGCATTTCTTGGAAGCTGAATCCATCAGTACGTTAATAAGCATTATATATCAGTTAATCTTTTTCTTTTGTTTATTTGTCAATAGTATTTGTCTTTGTTTTTTATTATTTGTTTGTCTGCTTGTAGCCACAGATGGACACCATTGCTATATAACAATACTAGTGATGAATATCCTCAATAGTTCTCTTCTATTTGTATAATGATCATCCCTTGTATCGGTTAGTACTTGGTACCACTAGTACTTGTTAGAAGACTTTCTTAATTGTTCTGGCTATTGCATTGGTTTTTGGACCTATCATCTATAGTGTTAGCCTAATGAAATCTAGCTAGAAACCCTTTAAACTTTGGTAAATGACCAAGACATTATCTAGGATTGTTTTCTGATTAACTAACTAAGAAACACAACAAAACAATTCAAATAGATATCTAATCATCACATAATGGAAGGCAATCCATGAAGGCAATATAGCTGATGGGGCTTCATCTATATTTATTATTCATCAAGCAAAAGGAGAAACTATGAGTCAATTGTGGCATGCATAAATGGTTAGACTTACCAAGGAATAAAAAAGAAAAAGATGAAATTTCTTCCTATCCTTCAGCACAAGGTTTAGGGTTAGAATGGTGACAATGTGTGACACCACTCGCATCAACATCATCCATTAGGAGTTTCTAACTTGGACTGCAATACCATTAAGAAATCAATCATTCATCCAGTAAGGTTCTAACTTGAAGGCTTTTTAAAACTCATTGGATGAAATCAATCATTCACCCATTTATCCAAGAAAGTCTCACTTAGAATACAACACGAAACCCAACAAGGATGCAGAGGTAGCAGGTTAGAATGCCAACCATTTCTAGAAAATTCTCACACCCCTACCCCCCTTGACACTTTATTCATGTCTCATGATGATATCAAGCATCATATTTAGGCCTTATGAAAAACTAGTTAGTTTCTTATATTAGAAGTTTCTTATGGGGTGTGGGTTGTGGACCTATGTTTGTAGCCCTAGCTCTCCCTCCTACCTATGAAAAGACGATAAGAAATATGTTGAACATTTCTTTGGTAGGTTCACATAAGTTTATATTATCAATTGTTTTATTTCTGGATATAAACCGTGTTAGCATTATGTACTGTATTTATGTCTTTAGTTATTTTATGTAAGCAAAAACTCTGAGTTTTCAGTGCAACAGGCTTCATATAGTTCCTTTATTTATTTATTTATTGAAGCTATGTAGATCTGATGCAATCTATTGGACATTTTGGTTCAGGTTATAATTTATGCGGTGCTGTATTTAAAGCTGAGTAGAGCTTGGATGTCTGTTGGAGTCAATAAGGAGAATAAAGCACAAAGATTATCAGATATCTTAAATTATGATAGAAGTAGAAAGAAAGGAAGATGTGTTATATTATTTGACAAATTGAATTTTTTTTAAGTCCTTGTATTTTTTATGTCAATTGGATATTGTATTTGAATAATTCTTTTCGAAATAATAATAATAATAATTAGTTTTTTTAATTTAATACATTAATTTTGTTTCAAATTACATTTTTATTTAATTTATTTTTATGTATCAATTGTCATGAGATTTTCACTAAGCAGGTATCGAAGTGATGAATTAGTAAAAGTGCTAGTGCAAAAAAAAAAGTTGGAATAAACCTGATAAAAATATAAAAAAAATCTAAGTCGGCGGTCATCCAACCGCCGTCTTTGATATAAACAATATGTCATATAATACCAAAGCCAGCGGTCAAATAGCATCTAATCCGGCAGTTTGAACTGCCACTAAAGATGGCAGGGATGTTTGGAAAAAGCTAAGGCGGCAGTCTTTTAGGACCGTCGACTTATATTATCACTAACTCAGCGGTTCCGATAGACCGCCACTTTAGAGCAACTTGAACCGCCTTCGACCAGCCATCAAAGGCGGTGGTCATTTCAACCTAAACTGGCAGTCTTGATCTAAGGCGGCAGCTTCTTAGGGGGCGGATGCATGATCGCCGCCTTAGACCTAAGCTGGCAGTCATAGGACCGCCGGCTATGACCTTTTTTCTTGTAGTGTGACCTAACCAGCGCTGACTTGCACCTGTAGGTTGAGTATGTATAAAGTATAAACCCTCTTTGTTTTTTTTTTATTTTTTATTTTTTCTCTGATCATGAAATATTAACAGTAATGAGACGTACGATGTAGGAGAGCAGATGATCTTTGTCAGGAATTTTGTCAATGGAATGTGGAGATGAGGTAGCCTTTTTTTGTATTTGTGTATGTCATATAAACGTATAATTTTGTTTTGACACTTTCGAATACTAGTAAACATGTACGTGCATTTTCATGTGGCATTATAGCTAAGATAAAACTATTTATAATTCATGGACAGTTTCTGAATAGTTTATAAGTGGACAGTTTCTGGATAGTTATAAGTGGGTAATTTCTAAAATGAGAATAAAGGACATATATGCCCTTTTTATGCCCATTGTATGTTTAGGCAAGGGGAATAGAAAATATCCAATGTGCATTCGCTCTTTTATAGGTAATATAAGTGATTTATTTTTCTATAGATAATTTGTATATTTATTTTCTACTATATATTATTTTTATTATGAATCCTTTATGATTTGTTTTGTATTGTCTTTCTCTACCTAAATAAATATACACAGAGATACTTTATGCAGGAATATGCTGAGGATTAGATTTGTAGCGGGAATATGCTGATGATTAGATTTGTATCCTGTCCATCCATTCCAAGGAGATCAGCTTCGGTCAGGGCAAGTCCATGCTCACACCATCTCACTAGTCTCTTGCAATCTTGTATCAGGAATATCTTCCAATGAAATAAAGCATATAAGTATGGAGATATTTTTAATGCAAGGCTGTAAAGGCTGCTCGAACGGGTATTGTCTAACTCCATTCCAAGATCCTAGGTAAGTACAGAGATATTCCCAATGCAAGGCTGCAACAGCTGTAAAGGCTGGTCTTAAATTTGCATTCATCAATAAAAGTTCTTAGTATTTTATAAATCGGGTTGTTTTTTCTTTTCTTCAACTTTCTATGAAGTCCATTTCCATGATCCTTGGCAGAAATGCTGAATGAGATCACACTGACGATGCTTGGTTTGCATTTTTGTTAAGGCTCAGTTCAAAAAGAGTGTAAATACAAATATGTACAGTGTAAATACAAACAAAATACAAGGTTTTACACTCTACATATTTGTATTTATACTCCTTCCAAACTGAACCTAAGTGATATACATTTTATATCCATTTAAGTGATGTTGGTATTATTGTTTTTTCTTTTTTAATAGTTGAAACACCACCACATCATTGCTACCTAGGCATTCTGAGTTTAAATGTTGTTATTCTGTCTGGTTGAGACTGTTTTGACTTAAAACAGCTATAAATTCTTTCTATTAAAACATCAAGGGGTGTTGAGGAAAACATCAAATTGATATTTCCTTCATTTATTATTTGTTTGAAGAAATGGTCCAATGACCTACATCCTAATTGACATCCTATGAGGCAGTGTAGAGATATATTTTAATGCATTGTATATTAATAAATATGGATATACACCATCAAATGCCCATAAACCTTAAAGTCCACACAAATTTCATGTATTGGAATTAATACAAAATACGGAAAAAATTATAAAACGGAATTTTGTAATAAAGAAAATACAAAGGATTTGATCTTTTTTATTCTGCTTGATTACAAGAAGAAACTCTGATTGACAGTTGAATTTGGTGAAGATAATAATGATTGTCAGTATAATTCTCATACTTATTGAAGAATCAAGAAGTGCCTTTTTAATGAGAACTTGAATTCAAGCATAAAGTAGAGAGACAAGAAGCTGTTTTTCTTTCTTTTTCTCTCTTGAATTTGAAGTAGAGTTGAGGTGAAGTCGCAAGTGTTGTGGCTTGCAATTCTCTAAGTGTTGATTTGTGAGAGTGAAAGAAGAGCTCCCAAATGTGTATGTGAGACTGAAAAGGAGAGTTCTCTCTCTCTCTCTAAACAATGCTATCTATAGCCTACGATTAGGGTTGTCACGTTCACTTTACTAACCAATCCCATATGTATCGGATGTTATGGTTAACTCCTATACATGTTCCATTATGTGGGAGTTAGTAGTTTGTCAAAAATGTCTATTTTATTACAATAGGATATGGGCCTAATTGGACTTGGTACATTTGGATCTTTAAGTCATGCATCACGTCTACAAAAACTTGGACCCTGAACCTATGGATTCTTGTTTTAATTTTAGAGACTGTTATGCAAATTAAGTCCGTTTCTTTGGCTTAAAAGCTTATATGTCTTCACCTACCTCTAAAACAAAGATTATGCTTTTGGTTCTATGTTTATAAAACCGTTAGGTCTGCATCTAGATGTTAATCCATGTTTAGTAATGAACCAATCATCTAGATGTTAATCCATGTTTTTTCATTGAAATAGGCAATGCTTTTGAGAGAAGGGGGCTTGTAATTGACCATTCCTTCTTTGTGCAACAAATCTTCTCGATTTTGGGCGGTTTTTCATGGGTTTCGTGCTTCCAATGAGGGATTGGGGCGTGTTAGACGTTGCAGTCCCGTATTTGGGGCTGACAGTGGCAAAAAACGTAGATTTGATGAGATTTTAAAAGTGGTTTTGTCCTTTCTTGGTTTTAAGTGGGGGCATGTTTGGTATTTTAGGTTTTTTTAAGCCTATTAGGTTCAAAATCATTGGTCCAGGTGTTTTAATGGGGTTAAGTAAGGATCTAACATCAGTCTCCACCCACTTAAGATCTTAGGTTGGACAGCCGATGTGGCAGTTCAATTAGGTGCGTCAAAAAGGTTTTTTTCTAGTTTAACGGTCAAACGGATGAATATGGTAATGAAATCTGGTGTGTTGGGGTTTTTTGGGTCTCTGAACACAAGGGTGAGGTTTGATCGGACAAACATGGTCGGGAAGATTGAGATCTGTGGCTGATAATTTCGGATCAATAAGATTTACTGAAATAGAATCTTTGTTTGATGAAGGGTCAAACAATGGAATTTTGGAATGAAATTTGGTAGGTAGGCATTTTCAAACATGCTGAATCTGATGGAAGTGATGGATATTCGATCAGAGGTGTGGGTTGACTGATTTAGTTCAGATCATGGTCATGAAATTTGATGTATTGGGATTCTTTGGGTCATTAAACATGGTGGTGGGGTCTGATTGGTCAAATAAGGCTTGGATGATGGAGGTTTGTGACAGGTGAGCTTTTAATCAATATGATTCGCCAAAACAGAAGCTAAGCTTGATGTTAGGTCAAATGAGGGAATTTTGGGATAAAATTTAGTGGGTAGATATGGATTGGGATTATGAGACTGTTGGAAGAGTTTGATCGCGTTAGGTATGTACAGATCATGAGCTTTAAGTTTGAGGAGCGTCATAGTGTTATATGCGTCAAAATGGGATCTCTGATGGATGATTGGCTAAATCCAAGAATTTAGGGTTGAAATTTTGCATGATTGGTTGTTTGAGGATTTTGTTTCATGTGATGTGGCATAATCAAGACCATCGAAAGGGAATCATGTAGATTTAATGGTGGATTTGTGGACATTTGGGATAAACTTTGGTTAATAGGGTTTTGGCATGTTTTAAAGTGATTGGTGGGGTCTGATCAGGCATCCAGAATGTAGGAGATGGATCAAAGAAATGACCGAGCAAAAATTGGATGCTAACACACAGGAAATTCACACTATAAACAAATTTAAGTCTAAGGCTCCACTAGGGAAGAAGACTTGAAGATACAAATATATCCATGCAAAACCTTGTATATGCTCCATATATACATTTTTAAACCTTGTATTTGCGCTAAATATATTTCTATTTGCACTATTCGATTCTTAAAGTCATTACCATGCAAAATGCTAGTGCGATGTTGTAAAGGATGACTTAGAGGATAGAATAGGCAGCCAATCCAGAGGGCTCCTCCCAATGGATGACTTGGATTGACCACATCATCTATTCATTAGGCAGAATAGGGGAAGGACATTAGAGAAGCTCCCCATCCCTACTTGCCTTGATTAGGCAATATAAACGGCTGGGCCCACTTGGTTCACGGAAATAGGGGTTTGGAATCAGAACCGGAATGAGCCATTCCAATTCTAACTATTTGCTTGGATGGAATCAGAATGAATCCCATCTCCATTTGGTGAAATGACATTTTCTCATTTGAAAGAATGGTCATTCCCTCCCCCCTCCTTTGGGAATAAAATCCCATCGTAGCTAATTCCAATTCTCATTCTGATTCCTGTATGAACCAAACAGACCCTTAGTGCCTTACTAAAACTTTGCAGTGTGAGATGCAACTTGAGTAGATCATGCTGGATTTAAGGTTAACCCATTTTTGATTGACTTCAGATCTGCTCCCAACTCTGTCCCAATAAGCCATTAGTGTCACACATCCGGAACATCTCTTCATGTATGACAATTGTGATGTTACCAATCTGCAATGGGCTGTTGGGACAGTTTTGGGAGCGTTTTGTTGGTAGGAAATCCCTACCCTTTTCAATTCAACCCAAAGAGTTGTCCCCTCAACCAATCTTAAGGTAAAGATTAAGATATGGACAGCCCCAGCCAAGCATGAGTTAAACCCACACACATAGTATGGGCTCAGGTTGATTGGTCAGGTTATAGGCTGGGCTCAGGCAGATTGCAAGCACAAACTATTCTAATTTCTAAAATCTGGGTTGGATAACTTGAGTTGCAACTGGGTTCAAAGTTGGTACCACCCGTTTTGCTCAGCTTTAAAAAGAAAAGCTGAAATGACACATGAATTCTACTAGTATGTTGAAATGACAGTTTGGACAAGCGAAACTAGGGCTTCCTTGATCCTTGTTTACTAATCTACAACATGGCTTTTCAGGAAACAGAAACAGAAGACCATAAGGCTGTGTTTGGTTTGAAAGAAAAGTAGGGAAAGGAAGGAAAATACAGGGTGCAGATTAGGTTTCCCAACCTTTCACCTTTCTTTCGAACCAAACACAGCCTAGCTAACAGAACCAAGCATGCATATGTAATAATTGGTCAGTGTTCCCATCTTTTGGTAACCCTAACCATCAAACCATGCTTCATATGGAGAATTATAGAAAGATTTGGAGACACAGGGTGACCTTCTATGACTTCAACGTGGTAGTTGTGGATGAAGGCAGCGGCAACAACCTTCATTTGAGTGAAAGCCACTTCCTTCCCTAGGCAAGTTCTCGGCCCGGCATTGAAGGCCAAGAACTTGTAGGATGGCTCATGTCTGATTCGTCCTCGCTCTGTAATCCATCTCTCTGGCTTGAATTCTAAGCAATCTTTGCCCCATAAGCCTTCCATCCTTCCCATTCCATACAAAGAAAACAAGATCTTTGTTCTCTCGTCGACTCTGTGACCACTGGGAAGAACGTCCGGACAAACTGGGCTCTTGTGTTCAAATGGTACCGGTGGGAACAGCCTTAGAGCTTCACACAAGGCTCCATGGAGATAAGCCAAGCCACTTAGCTCTCCAGCATCAAATACCCTCCATTTCTCTGCTTCCTCCGCGGGCAAATTCGACTTGAGCTCTTCTCTGATTTTCGTTTCAACTGATGGGTTCTTTGCGACAAGCCAGAAAAACCATGACAGAGCCGCGCTCGTGGTGTCTCGCCCTGCAATCATGAAATTCAACATGGTGTCCCTCAGAAGCTTGTCGGACTTCAACCAGTCACTACCATAATCATCTTCCATATACGATGTCAATAAATCAATGCCCTCTTCTTCGTTCTTATTTGTTCTGTTGTTCAGCTCTTCTCTCTTCAATGAGATGCAGTGTGCTATATATCGGTCAAGCGTCTTCCAAGCTCTACTCATTTTCTTCTCTTCTCCAATCCCAAGCCACCTCTGTAACTTCCAGTAGCTCTTGGGCACAATATGACGGAAAAAGATTGCCTCCTCGACATCGTCTAAAGCCTTTGAGAAAGCAACATCTGGGAATTCGACGGAAAGACAACCCGGGTCGATGCCAGAAATCAAAGTACACGTACTATCAAACGTGAAACGCTGGAATACATCTTGCAGATCCACAATCATGCCTTGTTCAGAGATATGGTCTAGAACGGGAATTAGCCCTTCCTCCACATTCTTCCGACTTGTTCTCTCCAAAAACCGGCAAAATCTCCGGCGACTGATCAACCCATGAGCAACTTTCCTTTGGGTTTTCCAAAGATCAGAATCCGAATTGAAAATTCCATCCCCAAGAACGTCAAAAATATTTTTGAACTCTGGCCCCTTGGGGAAATTTGAGAAGTGTGTGCTCATGATGTAATGCACGTTAGCCGGGTCACACGTCCAGACCATGTCCATGCCAGCGAGCCACGGGCCTCTAAACGTGAAGGTGTAGCTGCGGCTTTGTTCCAGGAGTTTGGTTGTCCAGTCATGGACATGATGAATATTTCGAAGGAGGGAGGGAAGCATTCCTAGAACCGGCCAATCCGGCAAAGGGCTGTCGTTACGACTTAGGCGACGGAGATAGATAAAGCACACAACTGCTAAACTTAGCAGTAACATCTCGAAGTACCCCATCCCCATGAAAGCCATGGACGTCATTGGAACTCTCTCTCTCTCTCTGCAAATGATTCCATGTTCTTTTCAACAGACAACGGTACTTAACGTGATTACTTAGACCTACTCTAACCACCTAATAAATAAGTAATTAATTAGAAGAAGTGTTAGTAAAAACGTTAAATATTATTTATACCCCGTGGTTTGACCATGCACTTTGTGTGATAGGGCCATAGGGGCAAGGCAGGCGTAAGTATCGAGGGGCGATACTAAGTTCAAAAGATTTGGAGTTTCTATACATCAACAGAGCACCCCCATAGCCACTTGAAAGCTAAGCAAAACTCTGTGAAATATTTCTGGTCTCACCAAGAGATGATTGCATCTTCTTTTGCCTTGGATAAATCTCTTCTAATCTAATACAATGGACAAGTAATGTGCCATTGTCTTTTTCATCAATAACAAATAAACAATGTTCTTTATCGCAACATCACAGTGTTCAAAAGATTGCAGTCGTATAACATTTGGCTCTGAATAATCAACAGCAACATGCCAAGTGACTCTGTAATGTGGTTTTGTTTCTTAGTGTTGTGCTTATGTGTAAATGTTAAACATAACAAGTTTTAGATAATTATCCCTAGTAACAAAGACTGATACCTGCCTGATAGATCTGTTACATAATGCTGTAACATCTAACACTCTTTGTTGGTTGACAGTTTGGATTCTAAATTAGGAGGTGAGACTTTTATATAGGTGAGCTGTCGTGAGCCTCACGAAATGCATCCGGGATCTATAACTCATTTGGTCCAGAGGTGATTTAATGCCTGGAGGTGGACTCCATGTAAACAGGTAACATTTATTCAATCCCGTCCGAAACGGGCGAGGTGATAACTAGTTCCTCCAATATGGCGTTGTAATCTCATAGAATTTGGAAGTGATAATTTATTTAAGGGGGAGGTTGCTTGACATATCAGGCAAATCACTAGCCGAAGTCAAGTCAGATCGATGGAAGCAGATCACCTCTTATGCCTATTTGAGGTCGTGTGTAGTCATTTATAATTTGGCCTATCAATGCATATATGAAGTTGGAGGCCTATCAATGCATATATGAAGTGTCCAAAGTGGTGTTAGGATTTACTTACAAGGTATCAATTCACTGGTTGGGATTACTCTACGTAGCCCCTTCTTTCTCCACTCGACTTACAGCCCAATTGATGGATGAATGAGTATGCCACTCATTGCTAAACGACGAAAGTGTAGCACTCGCCAAATCTACCAATCGTTTAGCTAAATTAGTCGGCCTGTCCTTGTACGGCATGACTTTTACATGTATTAATTGTCAAATGGCAATATATTTTTAGCATGATTGATTGACAAGGAAGATATTTCTAATGCCAGCTGTAAACGAATAATATATTCGAGACTTCAATAAAAGATATGATATGGAAAGATTTTTTATCGATCAAAACCCATTTATAAATTTTGATAAATAATACTTGATTGACTATCACTTTTATGATTCTGATAAATTGACTGGTCAAAAAATTTTCATATGTCATAATTGAACTTTTAAGTGATATAAAATGTGTAAATGGATTTTGACAAATTATTAATGAAAGGGAGATCTCTGTCCAGGGTGGTTCAGGTCCATTTTGAAAAGAGGGGAGGCCATATTAATAATTGCACCATTTTCTTTATAAATCACATCAGAGGGCTTCTTCATAAACCTCGTCGTTACGTTTACTGAGTCGTTTGTGGGTTGCCACTCGAGAGGAGGTTCAGCTAGGGGTGTCAGTGGACAGGTTTTGGATTTTACTACATCCAAATCAAAATTAATTTGGATGGATAGGAGGGATCAATAAGATATATTGAAATGGATCAGTTTTAATGGTTTAAAGTATTTATTGGATTAGATTGGACCTTGTAATGGATTTATGTTAGATTAAGTTGGATTAAATTAATATCTGGTTTATTCAGAAAAGACAAGGATTCAGAAGTTAATAGACTAGGTTTGGGAATAAAAACCAATTTAAACAGACTGGACAGCCCAGATATTGATTTGGACTGGTCCAAAATAATCCCAAGTATTGATCGGATTGGATTGGGCCTGCCCATCTGTAATAGACTCATATTGGACTGAATTGAATTAGACCAAATCCGATTCAATTAACACCCCTAGGTTCAGCCAATACCTATTGCTCATTCTTGGTGGTCAAAACCTCAACTAACTTTCATTAGAGGGCGTTTTTCTTTTGGATTTTGAGAGGGGGAAGTTAGTAAATGAAAAAACTAATTAGAATAGTAGTGCACGACCATCATACTGTAGGTGCCGGAATAGTAGTGCGAGATCATCATGATTGTCATTGCTTGTCATCTCATTTTGAGGGCAGTCCCTTTGCCAATACGTCCTCCCATGGAAGAAGCTGAAGCATAAGGTTCCTTTCATGGCGTTGAGTTTGCTTTGGAACTGTATCTCCAATCAGTGATGATCGAAGGTGTTTCAACCATAACCAAGCTTCTGTGGGTGGACTCTTCTGAGCCACTGTGGTCTGTGGTGCATTACCACCGTTGTTGCCGATTGCCGGAGCTTAATCTTTCACCTTCTCTTTGTCATGATATCTATTGTTCAAAGAACGGCAAACAAGGCGGGACATCGAGTTTCTTGAGTTGTTACAACTTGTTTTAGGCCTTGCACTTGGTTGTTGTGCCCTAAGTTTTCTTTCTTTCGTTGTTGATTATCATCTATTTGAACGAAGATGATTGAATGAATTTGTGCATTTGCAATTCAAATTAATGCTCAGTTTGGAAGGAGTACCAATATGTAGAGTGCAAAACCTTATATTTTGTTTGTATTTACACCATACATATTTGTATTTTGTATTATTTTGTAAATATTTATACTATATATATATATGTGTGTGTGTGTGTGTGTATTTGTACTCTTTCTAAGAAATACAAATACAAATATGTAAAGTGCAAAATCTTATATTTTGTATATATTTGCACTGTACATATTTGTAATTGTACTCTTTTGCAAATTGAGCCTATTACATATATTTTGTATTTATAAACCTTGTTTTGCACTTGACATATTTGCATTCCTACTCTTTTCTTCTTTTTTTTTTTTTTGATTAATAACTTCTCCCTTGACCCCTTTTTCCAGGATTCAATTCCGCATTAACACTGGAACAAACCAGCTAACACACCAACAAATCAGCCCTCGTTGGTGTAAAATACAAAGGGTGTCATTTTCATAAACTTTACATATTCGTACTTGCACTCTTCTGGCATGGATCCTTAAATTAAGGCTGTCCATACCTTAGTAGATGTTAATTCAGAATCAAAATCCCCTGGAATTGCAATCGGAATTGCCTCTTCCCCTTGTTTGGTTGAAATGAGAATTGTAATCAAATTTCATAAGAGTCCATTACAGATGGAATAGGTCCAATCCAATCTGATGAATACTTTGGACCATTTTGAACTAGTCATATTTAATGTTTGGACAACCCAATCTGTTCAAATGGTTTTAATTTAGATTGGTTCCAACCCAAACCTGATTCATTGACACATGTATTCTTATCTTCTATCAATGGACCAAATATTGGTTCAATCCAACCCAACCCAATATAAATGCATTACAGATGGACCAGGCCCAATCCAATCCAATAAATACTTTGGACTATTAGGTTTGGACTGGTCCAATTCAATATGTCTTATTGGTCTGTCCAAATTGATTTTGGTTTGGACAGGGTCCAACCCAAAACCGGTCCATTGACACCCCTAGGCATCGGGTAAAGGAAATAGGGTTTGGGGGTTTCATTGGTCCTTTTTCTTTCTTTTTTTTTCTTTTTTTTTTCTTGACCGGTTGGAATGAGATTCTCATTCCCAAGGGGGAGCCTGGAATGACTATTCTCTCAAATATGGGAATGCCAATCTTCCCAACCAAATTACCAGAATCAAAATGGGAATGCCAAACCATATTAAGCCAAACCGAAATTGGTGGTTTGATCTGGCTTGGCCTTAAAATAGTTTGGTTTGGTCTAGTTTTCTAAATTTTAGAAATCAGACCAAACCATAAACTGTATAAAACCGAATTATTAATGTATGTAATATACATATGTATGTATGTATGTATTTAACATTTCATACAATTTTTAATTTGTAATTTGATGCCTAATAATAATAATAATAATAATAATAATAATAATAATAATAATAATAATAATAATAATAATAATAATAATAATAATAATAATAATAACAATAATA